CTCAAGAACGAAGGAGGACTTGGCTGTGTTTCCTCAGCAGAGATTCCCTTTGCTAAGACGCTTGGTTTGCTTATACGTATTTGCAAAGTAGGATAATCGCTCCTCCCTAGGAATGAGTGGCTAAAGATGGTAAGATCCTGTTTCACAGCCAAGGAGCTGGACTAGTGCTTTGTTTGGATGAAAAGGGTGGCCTGGGAATACCTGCTGTCAACAGCTGTGTGTTTAGCCAAATTATCATTCTCCTCAGCACCTAATTTTTTCTCGGCACGGCCTACGTTATTGGACAGTGTTAACTAACATAGAGCAACCGTATCAGATACAGCCTGTCATCCTGTCTGCCTGACTATCTTGTTGCACCTGCCCTAATTTGCCAAACAGTAAGAATCTCCAAAGTTTTAGCACTTACTGGGGTTCAATTTCATTATGAATGAAATTGACACTGGAGGCTTATAGCATTTTATAATACTTGGGTTGTACCCACTACGGATAGTCCTTCTCAGACTAGGTCTATTGCAATTACTGAGCATGCCTAAATTAGGCTAATTCATTTCAGTGGGTTTACACTGATAAAAACTTACCCAATGTGTTTGTTTATAAAAATACAGGTTTGAGCATAGGAGGTGCATTGCTATTCTCTTTTTCTAGAGAAACAGCATTGCACTTACTTATATATGCCAACCCCACAACTCATAGCTATATTATATAAATAGATATAGGTAGATAGGCTGATACCAGGAATGCGGGTGACAACGCCGATATCTTGCTGAAACACATCACCTACGGTGCTGGGGCTGTGTTTGCAGGGATGCTGCGCCTTCCACATTCTGCCTGCAGGCAGGTCTCTGTGATTCAGATGACTCCAATGGGCGAAGCTGGGTTGAGAGAATTAGAACCAAGGTACTTGCCACCCTGTTATTAGAGCATCTCCAAGCAAGGCCTTTGTGCAGCTTCCATTGCAACACTTTCCTGGCAGCTACCGGCTTATAATACTACGCCCACGCGGCCTCTACAAACCCTTCTTCTTCTTCCTTTTTTTTACACTTGTGGGAGTCGGGGTGTCATCAGGATAGGGTTTGGGGAAAACAAGCCCAAGCTCCCACTGAACAGCAGGAAGAACCCCCAGTGTAGCACAGCTGGCTCCAAACATTTGGAAGCAATGGCCAGTAACATATGAAGAAGGGGGGCTTCCCCTAAGATCCTTAAGTCCAGCGTTTGAAATTATCGAGCCACAGCAATGTACGGGAAGGATGAGTTCAGCACGATGACCCCTCGATGCCCTTGTGGGCGTAGTGTGATTCACAAGAGCAAATGGTTGCAACATGGTGAAGGGGTCCATTTTCGACACACACCCTGCTCACCGGGACGTTCCATGAGTGACTCAGAACCACAAAAATGCTTGCGCTGGAACTGGATTCGCTGCCCTTATCAAATGCAAATGAATGAAGAGATAGCTTGCCACCTCCGCAACGCTCTTAAATGTCCCACTTGAACAGAGCATGATTAACATGCCAGGAAATTCATGCAGCTTCCATCACGGGCACCAACAACATCCTTTCTTTAGACTGCCAAAATGGAACTCAGTGAGAGCAAAGAGAAAATCAGTGACGGCGGCTCCAAGTCCGTTTCAGAGTGCTGTAAGGGGGGAACGCCCAGGGTCAAAATGTCTTTGGGACAACCTAATACGAGGCGTGCAAATCATAGAATCGTAAAATTGGAGAGTTGGAAAGGACCACAAGGATCATCTTGTCCAACTCCCTGCAATACAGGAATCTTTTGCCCAAGATGGGGCTTGAACCCACAACCATGAGATTCAGAATCTAATGCAAATGTAACAGAAGTCCCATTTAATAAAATAAAATTAATAATAATAATAAACCTTAGGAAGCTGTGGAAGCTCAGTGTAGAGGGATCTTTAACTGGCCCAACTTCAAACACTTTCCTATTCCCCCTTGTCAGATTGCAGGTTCCTATTTGCCAAGGAAAATACTAGAGGTGTGCATTGGTCTGAGTACAAGGGAAATGGGGATGATTTTGGTGACGGTAGCACTAACAGGATGTCTTGAGTTAGATCAGGGACTCCCTAAATTCCTGTGACTCTGTGGACTTGAGTACCCGCTGCTAAAAAACGCAGCATTTTGCCATTTAAAGTAAAATGACAACTGTATTTTTAAAAAGCAGAACCAGGCTGACTGAGCTTGTGGGGGGAGAGAACAGAAGGAATATTTTGTTTGGACAGATAGGCCTAGCTTTTAATCTCAATGAATTATTTTCCCAGGGTACTCCACAGCAATTTGAGGGAGGGATGTTGCTGTAAATAAGAGTCCTCCCCCCCCCACCCCATGATCATTTTTCTTCTGCCTGGAAAAGCGGGGCGGCAAACTACTGGCATCCTTTCCAATCACTTTCTTAAAAATCAGTACTTCAAGCAATTTGTTTTCTTTTCACTTCTTCTCTTCTTCTTCTTCTTCTTTTTTGCCTGCAAATTTTATCTGCTTCTGCAAAAATAAAAATGTAACAGCTGTTTTTAGGTTCCCCATTATAGTCAACGGGGAGAATTTCAGAGATCTGATTTGGACCTGCATAACAAATCAGAATCCAATCAGAAAGATGCATGGCAGATACAAATCAGAACAGGTTGCTTCTCAACAACACAGAATCAGATCCAAGGCAAATGTTGTGGCTGGTGCACACCTCTAGCAAATACACATCTGAAAGCCCACAACTGTTCTTAAAACCAGCTTAAAATTTTAACTGGAAAATAGCCAGTAAGAAAAGAGTGAGCTGCCTTGCCTGCCACTTTGCTCAAAATCATTGCCACTGAAGGCTGCTTTTAAATTTTTTTAAACAACAACAAGCAACCCATTGGGTTTTTGTTACATTTATTTGAATCACAATTGTATTATTTATTTATTTATTTATTTTAAATGCCCTAGCTTTCCCCAGGAATTTTGGGGACTGTAGTCATGTCTAACCCAAAAACATCTAGCTCCAAATCACAGCTCCCAGTGCTACCTGGATTAATTCATGACAACTAACATCATTTGCAATCTGAATTAAATCTGATGTGGCCTCAGATTCACATAGGTTGCCAGGAGAATAAATTATGCAGGGTACACAATAGCAAGCAGGTATATATAATCGAACCCAGCTAAACTGGCACTTGTTTTGAAGCTCCTTTCCTCTCACTGATGTCAAGCGGGATGAATTTGCTGAAATCCAAGTACTTTAGTTTCAAGTAGGGTGTGAATCACCCTGTCATTCTAACAACATGGGGTGGAGGAGTTATGGTGGTTGCTTGAGAATTGTGAGGGGTTGAATCGGTTAATTTGCACTCTGGCTAAGTGATGAATGGGGAAAGAGTTTAGGTAACAGGGCAGGAGTGTCTCATAATTTAAATTCTTCAATTAATTTCCTGGCTTTGTGAAATCCAGATTTCGCTGTACTCAGCATTGTGGACGTGCATTACAAACTCTCTTTCAGTTTGACTAAATTTCCTCTGAAAGATAAATATATTTACGGATCTTAAAACTAGGCTTGCTGTACATCGGGAAAATTCCTGACACTCCCTGGTTTCCGGGTGTAAAAGTGACATGGGGGGGGCAGATTTTGCCAAAGCGGCAAAATGTCAGGGGAAAACCTGGAGTTATGCAAAAAGCAGCAAAAACAGCTCCAAAAGTTTAAAATCTCTAGTTTGCAGGTTTCCCCTAAAAAAGCTCAGCAATTTGGGTTTGTTCCAACAACTTTGCTGGTGTCAGGAATATTACTTTTTGAAATATGGCAACCCTATTAACTCCCCACACACCCGAAAACAGATTCCTTTGTAGTGCAGGCGTGTGTAAAAAGTTCCTTGTCATGAAGCAAAAATTTGGAAATCTTACATTTAAAAAATACACTTCCCTGCCACCATTTAGTGTATCTTCAGATAGAGCTTTCAGATCCGTGTGTTTATTTATTCTCAGCATAAAATCCAAACTGTGTACCAACAATAAAGTCACATGCGCAGGGCCAGATTTAGGTTTGATGAGGCCCTAAGCTGCTGAAGGTAATGGGGCACTTTATAGGTCCGGGTGTCCTTTTTCAACAACAAATTCTCGCTGTTTTTTTGTGTTGAATATATGCTATATGGTAATTTATGGTAATTTATGGACCTAATAGGTATTTTGTCAAAGTAATTGTTGAGAAGTCCATGCAGAATGCAAAGTCCATGCAGAATGTAGGCACCCTATATATAGAAATGAGCAAACCAGTGATATTTTAGGGAGCAGGCTAGCAAACGGGGCCCATTACTTACATCATAGGAGCCTACACAACACAAAACACTGTTGCTGTATGTAGGGTTTTTAAAATTGTTTTTTATCTTATATTTTGGAAATGTACATCCAGGTGTTTTTTCCCTTTAAATTTTTTGGGGGCCCCACAAGCGAGTGTGGCACAAGGAGAAGGGAACGAGATGGTTGGACAGTGTTCTCGAAGCTACCAGCATGAGTTTGACCTAACGGCGGGAGACAGTGGAAGACAAGAGTGCCTGGCGTGCTCTGGTCCATGGGGTCACGCAGAGTCGGACACGACTAAACAACAACAACAAGAGAGTGTGGCCCTAAGCTATAGCTTGTTTAGCTTATACGTAAATCCGGCACTGTACATGTGGTAGATATGCTCCAGTATCGATAGGAACAGCCAGTGTGGTGGGGAAATGCTGTAGAGCTGCTCTCCCAACAGCTGTGTCACTGCTGTTTACCTGGACAGTTTGGAGGCAGGGCAAGGTGACATCGACCTCAAGGCTGCACAGATGCAGCACTGCAACATTGCTGCCAGTCCACCTATGCAATTCCATCCTCAGTGCCACGCCACCACCTACTTTCCAGGCAAGTAACAGCGATGCTGCTGTAGGAAGGGCGAGCCCTGAGGCACCACCCTATTGCAAATACTGGCTTGATGTCTGCTCAGCTCCCAAATGAAAAAGTCTGGCCAACATTCTGAGCTACACTGGGTGGTTGACTTCAGCTGCCATTTTTATTTCCCACAGTGCCCCTGGTGTAGCATCGCTCCTTGTGGGAAAGAGGGGCACTGTGGGAAATTAAAATGGCAGCTAGACTCTGCCAGCCAGTGCTGCTTCTCACACAGCTGAGAGTACTACTGATTTTTGCCTGATCATTGCTCATCTTGAGCTGCTTCCTCAACTCTCAAGATCCTGATGTCTGTTTATGCTCTGAAACGACTTGTCTTTGTGTTATTTTATGATGCAGGGCCCAGAAGTAGTGCAATAATTGCAAAAGGGTTGATTTAATCTAATCTAACCAACAGTCTTTAATAACATAATCCACAATGCAAGCATGCAATTAAATCCAAGTAATTGCGGGTGGTTTTTGTATAAGGATTATTCCTATATTAAAATATAGTTTATTGGCCTTTGTTAATATGATTAGATTAGCTTTTTGTGGTTGCTGCATTTTTTTGGTTGTTTCAGCTCAAGTGTACTAGCACATCCAGCCGATTCAGAAATGTACCCTTTTGCACAATCCTGAAAATCTCTTGTGTGAAGAGAAATGGAGCGTTCCCACCCTTGCCATACATTTAAAGCAAGTTTAAAGCACATGGCTTCCCCCAAAGAATTATGGAAAGTGTAGTTTGGTAAGGTGCTGGGAATGGTATCTCTGCAAGTGGCAAACTCCCATTATTCCTTGGGGAAAGCAATGTTGTTTAAATGTACAGCGTGAATGTGATTATAGTGGGTTCTTCACCATTATGTGAGACATCCTTTGCAACTTGTCTTGGTTCTTTTCACACAGCAGTTTGGATGCTAATTCAGCCATCAATGTTGTCCTTCTTTTCATGCTTCAGCTGAGTTGTCCGTCCAGGTTTCCTCTCTTTAAGTAGCACATCTAAGCCCCCTGCCACAACTTAAGCAGCATATGTAAGTTTATATTTTTCCTTTACTGTATTAAAGAATAGCCTCATGAACAGTTGCCATAAAAACAGCTGCAAAAGAACTCTGGAGACTGGGAGGTGGGTGAAGCATGTTGGTGATTGTCACATGCACTAGTCAATCAATGCTACCCATAATAGGCTTTTCCCTATTCCAATTGATATCCTTTGAAACACATTTCCTTTTAATTGTTTCCACAGTAGAGACTTTGAAGCCCTGCCGAGATACTGCTTTGCTGCAATAGTGCTACTTCACAATAAAAGGAAATGGGTAATTAAGCCTTCTGCAGAGCACAGAAACTCATTAATCACGTAACAACAACAGCAAAAACAACAACAACAACAACAACAACATGCTGTCCATCTGACAGGGTTGCCCCAGCCATTCAAACATTAAAAGCTTCCCTATACAGGGCTGCCTTCAGAGGTTGTCTAAAAATCAAACAGTTGTTTATTTCCTTGACGTTTGAGGGGAGGGCATTCCACAGGGTGTGCAATTCATGCAGTGCAATTCCACAGGGTGTGCAATTCATGAAGGCACTTTTCATCAGTAATTCACAGACACATTGAGGCAATTGGAGATGGAGGAAGCTTCTAATGAAAGGCACAGGAGCCCTAAAATGCCTCAGTAGTTCTAGGTGTGTCCACACTGGATAAGCAGGCACTGCAATTGCAAAGTGGAAATCAGGCCTGAAAAAAGTCACGAGGATGGCCAGGTTACAAAGTGCTGCTGCACTTCAAAAACTTTTTTGACTAATTATATTCAAGATTATATGTAAGGAAAATACATGTATTATATTATAGTACATTTAAAAGAATCAAGCGTCATGCTGTAGTACATCTTGCAGCATAATATTAGAACATAGAATCTTAGAGTTGCAAGGGACCCCAACGGTCATCTAGTCCAACCCCCTGCAATGCAGGAATCTCAGTTAAAGCATCCATGACAGATGGCCATCCAACCTCTGTTAAAAAATCTCCAAAGAAGGATAGTCCACCACCTCTCACTGCTGAACAGCTCTTAATGTCAGAAAGTTTTTTCGAATGTTTAGTCAGAATCTCCTTTCTTGCAACTCGAAGCCATTGGTTCGAGTCCTATGCTCTGGAGCAGGAGAAAACAAACATGCTCCCTCCTCCATGTGACAGCCCTTAAGATATTTGAAGATGGCTATCATATCCCCCCTCAGTCTCCTCTTTTCCAGGCTAAACATACACAGTTCCTTCAACCATAAGGCTTAGTTTCCAGACCCTTGATCATCAACCTCTGCATACTTTCCAGCTTGTCAACATCCTTTTTAAATTGTGGTGCCCAGAACTGGACACAGTATTCCAAGCATGGTCTAAGGCAGAAGAGAGTGGGACTATTATTTCCCTTGATCTGGACACTATACTTCTGTTGATGCAGCCTAGAATAGCATTCACTTTTTTTGCTGCTGCATCACACTGTTGCCTCATGTGAAGCTTGTGGTCCACCAAGACCCCTAGATCCTTTTCACATGAACTGCTAGTAAGCCAGGTGTCCCCCATCCTTTATTTGTGCATCTTCCTGCCTAAGTACAGAATCTTACATTTGTCCCAATTGGCATTCATTTTGTTAGCTGGCGCCCAGTTCTCCAATCTGTTAAGATCATTTTGAATTCTGATTCTCTCTTCTGAGGCATTAGCTACCCCTCCCAGTTGGGTGTCATCTGCAAATTTGATGAGCATCCCCTCAATTCCTTCATCCAAGTCATTTATAAAGATGTTGAACAACAATGGACCCAGGACAGAACCCTGCGGCACCCCACTTGTCACTTTTTTCTTCATGATATACATGGTACTTCCCTCTCCCCTTTTATCTCCCACTCCAACCTGTCAAATGCATTATCTATCAGTTTTGGTTTCTCTCGGTTTCTTTTTTTTTTTTTTGCAATCATAAGTACAGTTCTCCAAACTGGTCAGTGAACTCTGTAAAAAAAACCTTCTCAAGAAAATTTGATAGCATTATTTAGTGTATTCCTCCTACTGTACACACTTTTTTTTACAAGCGATTCCGCCTAATATATTTTCCATGTTATTTTCACTGATATATGCATTGTTAAATTTACCCTAGTACAGTATATGCATTTTCGTAACACTTTTCTTGGCTGGAGAAGTGCATTGCAAAATTTGGAAAAACGTGAATTTCAAAGGATGACTGTGCTTTGGTTTGCATGTTGCTCCAGGAAGTACAAATTAAGCAGATTCATCTTTGAATGTGAACTGAACTGAATTTCTCCCCCATCCCTAGATGAAAGACAGTTACTGGCCCAAAATGCTGGTGGGGACTCTCTCTCTCTCTCTCTCTCTCTCTATATATATATATAACACAGGTGTGGAAGTGTGGAGAACTGAATTTAAGATTAGAAGAATGAGAAACCGAGAGAAATCAAAATGGGCAGACTTGCCCATCCCCAGTTGAGGATAATTTTATTATGCTAGCACAGGGATGTAGAATCTGCAGGAGATAAATCTTTCAAACAAATAAATACATTAGCCATGGCATGCAGAAATGCGTGTGCAATCTGAGAAGGCAAACTAGATTTACAGACAGGGAGAGGAAAATAATACTGCCTTACCTTGCTGGATTTTTGTCAGCTGTACTGAGATAAATTCCCACAGCCCACATAAGACTTTGTGCACAGCTGTGGGCTGCATACTATGTGCTGCATGGTTCATCCAGGGGAAAGATCGTCATTCTCATGCAGATGTTATACGCCACCTAACAACTGAAAACACCCGTATCCCGGCTCTTCTTTCTATTTCCCCACTAAAATATGTATTTATCTTTTTATCTGTTACATAAAATTTATACACTGCTTGATTGCAAAATAACCTCAAAGCGGTTTACAAAAAAGGTTTTTTTAAAAAACTACCAATAAGAAAAATTAATATCAGTTATCTGAGACTTTAAGAAAGTTAAAAAACCAATGGACTGAAAAACAGATTAAAACTCGCATCAGCTTCCTAAACCCCTTTCTACAGCATCAGCAGGAAACATTTGTGTGACTGTCAAGGCAAGCTAGCCTCCATTGTTTCCTGCTGTGCTCTGGTTGCTTATGGAATTCACATAACCACGAGATGTTACAACGGTCATCATGTTAGATGCCTTCAGATGCCTAGATTTTTTTTAAAAAAAAACACCTCCCCATAATAAGGTGGTGGCTTCTGTGATGGTCACCTTAGCTCTTCTGCATCGTCAGGACCAGGAGGAGAAGAAAGTGTTTGGCAGGGCAGGATAGCATCACAGCAGGGAGATGTGGGCAACTATATATACTGCGCAAAGGGTGGAACAAATTGTGAACTGGAGGCAGACCTTTTTGGAGATCTTTCTCTCCGGGTGGCCTGATTCCAAGCAGTGCTAGAAAAGGAGCCTGACAACGGTTGCAGGTGCTTTGGAGATCCCAGTACACAAAACAGAAGGAGCAGGATTGCTCTGATAGTTGCGCATGGTAAGGAGCCCAAGGGAGTTGCCCTCCTTGTCTAAACATGTGTGATGGATAAACACAGGGCGATTGATCAAGGGAAGATGGGCAGATAAGGCACATTTGACTCATAGCCCAGGCAGCAGCGGCAGCAACCGCAGACGCATCTTCTTACTGCGGAATCTCTGCGGCTGCAAGGGCTTCTTTCCTCCCAGGACCTGCAGGTGACTATGCCTTTGTGTGAGTGAGGTGAGGAGTTGGGGGAAAACCCAAAGGCAGCAAGGCGAACAGTTGAGGGGCCTGTCCAGGCCAGTGCTTTCTTGCGGGTGTATTTTGCGACATGTTCTTGACACAACCGTAGTGCATTAGTAGTGGGCTTATTCTGCTTTTATTCTTTATTCTGAGATGCTTCCCCAATGCCACCATATCATTATTGCTATCTGGAGGGGGCATAGTGCAACAAAAGTGGGTTCAGGGACATTTTCCCTCTTGGATTCCGTCCCCTGTTCTACAAAAAGAAAAACTCTGCGGCTTAGAGAGAATAATACTGTTTGAGAAAGTCAAGCATTCAAAACATTTGCTGTAATTTCACACTGAGAAATGAATTATCGCTTGGAATAATCCCAAACACACACACACACACGCTGTAAGATGGCAACTTGTGTGCATTTAACTTTACACACATGGTGAAAAAGGCAGGGAGACTGGAAGGGGGCAGGGTTCGAGGAAAAATGACTTTGAACCCAATGGGCTTTGACCGTAAGCGATTTTGGCTTTAGGTCCAATGCCTGGAACGTAATGCCTGCGTAAGGTGCAGTCTTACTGTGTATAAAATCTTGCTCTTCGCTTAAAAGAGGGTAGAGCAGTCAGGAAAGGCCAATCTGATAGTTAGAGATAATGCAGGACTTTCAAATGCATATTTCTGCTATTTGTATAACCGAGGCTGCTGCATCGATGGAAGTGCATCTCTGACAAATAAAAGAAAATCAGCATTTTTTATGGATTTCAGCCAAAAGATTTGACATATCCCTTTACTGCAATTTCAAATGATATATTTGGAATAGAGCTGTGACAAAAATGTCCCCCTCCCCCCAAAAAAATTCAACCATTTGCCAGGGCGGGAGACGAAACTCTTCTGAAAAGTTGTGGTGGATGTGGGGGGAGAGATGTATCTGAAATATTGAGGAGAAGGTTGTTTCTTACTATACTTAATCTTAAGATATTTCCCCTTGTTGTTTTTTTAACTTTCAGATTTATAGTTAGGTGTAGGCAGATAGGCATGGCATGGCCAGAACGCCTTGGAGGGCCTAATTAATCCCACAAGCCGTAGATTCCCTCATGTTAAACCTGCTTGGATTTTGAGATATTCAGGGGTCTCTCTTCTCTCAGTCCTGACGCCCTCTCAGGTATGACTGGAAGGGACGCGGGAAGTGGCTTTCTCGGTAGCTGCGCCCAAACTTGGGAATTCCCACCCTAGATAAGTCAGACCGTCTCCCTCCTTGTTGTCCTTCCACTGGCAAGTGAAGACCTTATTTCAACAGGCTTTTGAGAATGGACTGCTTTTCATGAAAGAGCTGGTTCTGTGCTGTCTTTATTGTATATATCTGCATGCTTTTTTTAACAGATATGCTTCATTTTTAAAAATAAAATAATTGTTCCCCCACCCCCATATTTTTAGCTGTTTTTCTTTTATTTGTAAACTGCCTCAAGTACCAGGCAGGATATAAATAGATATAATTTAAAGAAATAGCCTTTGCCACTCAAAACTGAGGGAAGTTCTCTTTGCAGCCACTTTCCAGAGGCACTTCTTGGGATATCTGGGGAGTTATAGCATGTTGCATCGCTTTGTGTCGCTCCCAAGGCATTTTGGGGTTTGTGGTCAGTGGAAAGCGGTGCCAGGCTCTCCCAACAGCTTCCTGTCCACTGCAGAAGTGGCAAATCACCTCCCAAAATTTTTCATGGGGAAATGCTCCCCCCCCCCCATTTTTCACAGGGAGGGGCAAAATGTATTTTTGAAAAGAGAAGGGATCTCATCTCAGCTTTGCTTTGGAATTGAATCCTCTTTTCTGCTTCCAGCATTTTGATATTTATAAGACTGACCTCAACCCACCCACGATCCTGACCCCTTGCTCAGAGCTTTCCCTGTTTGTATTTAATGTCTTCTTCCTTTCCTTTCTTTGTGGGCCTTTCTGGAAATCGTGTTTGACTCATCAGCCTTCACTCAACGGGCCCCACTAGCGCTTCCATGGTGTGGGGATCTTAGGCTGGTATTCAAAGCTAGTCCTACTCAGAGCAGACCTGCTGGTGTTAATGAACTTGGTCTCATTCATTTCCCTTGGGTCTACTCTTGAGTAGGGCTGCAGTGACTACAGTCCTTAGATGTCCTGCCCTGTAATCTTTAATTCATCTGCTGAGAAAGAGTGATTAAAAAAAATGTTGTCAGGGTTTGCAAGTGTTCCCTTCCAATCTTTCTTTCTTTCTTTCTTTCTTTCTTTCTTTCTTTCTTTCTTTCTTTCTTTCTTTCTTTCTTTCTTTCTTCCTTCCTTCCTTCCTTCCTTCCTTCCTTCCTTCCTTCCTTTCTTAGGTGGCCAGGGGGTCTCATTGTTCAGAGGACAAACACAGAGCCAGATGTGGTTTGGCTCAATAGTCGGTGGCTCCTCCTCCTGCTGCTGCCACTGCTGGCTGGGGGCAGCTTATTCCGTCTTTTCCTTGCACATCAGGAAGAGCGGGAGGATGGAGATAGCCAGTCACTGGGGCCTCGCTGCCACCACGTTCAGTTCCACACACCCTAGCTTTGCACCTCAGGACATTGCGTGATGTCATGCACGTGACATCAGGACATCATGTCAGGCCCCCACAATGTTTTTGAGACGCTGACGCCTCTGCATCCTACATTTCTTCCGTTATGAAACCCAGCAAAGCATAGATGTGTTTCCCAGGAGGTTGCCCATCAAGGCATTGTTCAGACCCAGACCCAACTAGCTTTTCTGCAGGGTTGTGGCTTCATGTATGGGGTGCGGGTCTTTCCTGGTTTTTACCCTCCAAATGCTGTGCATTGCTTCTTGTTTTTAGCAGTGGAACACGTCTCTCCCAGTCGGAAAGAAACTTTGACACACTTCTGGCAGAAGGCTAGTCCTACTCCTTTGCATTAAGTTGGGATGGGGATGCAGGGCCATTAAAACAACACCCCATTGAGGGCAGTAGTGCTACTTCAGTAGCAGCAATGGGGAAAGCTATTAGGGTGGTCTTTAAAGGCTCCCTGCCTCTGTCCCTTCTTTCTCTCCAAATTCAGATGTGTGAATTGATGCTCACACTTTGTAATTAGTGCCTTGCTCTGGAGCACAGTGATGATAAGATAACTGGATTGAAGCCAAAGAATTCAGATATAATGCAAGCAATTCAATTTAGCTGGGTTGTAGATCAGACTGTGTTTACCTGGTAGTGTTGACGTTCTTTTGTATTTAAGCCAAGACAGCTGCAAAGTCATGGGGGCCCAGAAGTTGCTAGAATCATTCAGCTCGCCATTCGGAAGCATGGCAAAATCACCTTAACCTCAGTCTCTGCTGGAGGAGCCAGCTCAGACTAGCATAGTAAGAACCATGCCAGGACCAAGGGTCGCAGTCAAGAGTTTCCTTCCTCCTGATTCCAGGGGCTGAGCATCAGCAGGCTGGTTGTGTGGGCGGGTGCAGAACCCACATAACTGGATCCTTCTGCTTCTAGACAATGTCAAGGAAGGTGGGGCCAGCTTGGATTTAAGGGTGATGAATTCGGTGACAATAAACTGCTTTCGATCCAACAGCACCGCCAACATCAAGACAGACACATGCAGGTGGCATCTACTCCCTGCAGGGCCATGAGGCTTCTGGCGATGGTGGTTCTTCTGCTGACTCTTACAGGTAGGGAAGTATCACCTGGGCATACGGCTGAAAGTATGGCTTGAAGATCAGGGGTGAGTGCATGTCCTTCCTTCATATTTCCAAAAATGGTCCTGAGGAGATAGGAAAATGGCATGCTTTCTGCAGCAAAGCACCGCCGCTGGTGCCTCTCTGTAGAATACCCTCCTTTGTCCTTCTTACCTGGCATGCATTATCGTTTGCTTGTTTTTTTAGGCACCAGCCAAAGAAGACCTTTTTGTTCTCCCAAGTTCTCTCCCACATCACTTTTAGTGCTTTTACAACCTTCGAAAGGCTGCTGGACTCCAACTCCCATCAGCCCCAGCCTAGTTAATGACTGGGAATGATGGGAGTTGTAGTTCATCAACATCTGGAGGGTGGCCAGTTCCTCATCCCTATTTTATACCTTTGCACTTAATTATTCCTGTCATTTGCTTCAAATTTGTTCTTAATTGCTGTGCTTGCATTGGCTTTAGCTGTTTAGAGTTTTTTTAAAAATAATTGTTTTTTGGAGGGTGTTATCATGTAAACTTTGCATTGTATTTTGTCATCAACCCAAATGATGATGATTAATACCCCAGCCACTCTGGGCAGCTCCCAGCAGAATAGTAAAAACATGATAAAACATTAAAAACCTCCCTATACAGGGCTGCTTTCAGATGTCTTCTAAATGTTATGTAATTACTCATCTCCTTAACATCAGATGAGAGGGCATTTCACAGGGCGGGTGCCACAACCAAAGAAGGCCCTCTGCCTGGTTCCCTGTAACTTTGCTTCTCGCAGTGAGGGAACCACCAGAAAGCCCTCAGAGGAAGAAGGCCTCAGTATCTGGGCTGAGCGAACTCGGGGCTCATCCAGACTTCATTGTCTGCCGCATTTCTAGGCACAGGTTCGAGCTTTAAAGCTCCTTCTCTGAGCACTTTTTTCTTTTGCCCCAGTGTTTGCCCCGTGAAAATCCGCTGTTTACAGCTGAATCAGACCAAATTGCTGTTAGTTCCAATTCAGCTTTAAGGAGCAGGTTTTCCCAGGGAAAACAGTGTTGCAAAAAATAAAAGTGGTTGGACTTTGAGCTTTAAGGTGCATATCTGTGCTTAGCAAACATGAGGCAAAACGGGCGTGTGGATGAGCCTTTATGGTTATGAAGGCGGTGTTCCATAAATGTAATAGATAAATAGATTCTGAAGCACTGCCATAGGATTTCTATACATTCATCTGGGTCGGGGATCAGGGACGTCAAACCTGGTGACTCAGTGTGGTCTATCCAAGCCCTGGGACTTTCTACAGGTCATGTCCCTCTCGCTAACCCTGCTCCTGGAGGGCTTTTGGCTGACCTGGTTGTGTCTTTGCTTGCCCGGATGAAGAGAAGCATGCGTAGAGGGAAGTGCAGAAACAGCTGACTTTTGCAAGGCTGGAAAAATTGCCCTCTACACAAAACACAGAGTCACATCTGTAACTCCACCCACTTTCACCTTTGGCCCCAACCACCAGCAGCATAATGGCATACATGGAAGGCTGCCCATGGGGGAATGCAGACCTCAGGCTGAAAGAGGTTCCTCTCTCTTTTAACCAAGCTGGGCTGGTGGCTGGGATCCTTGCCGCTTAGCCAATGTGACATCGCTAGGTATGGTGGAAGCTATCTCTCACCTTAGCTGGTTTTCCTCTGCAGTTGCTGCGCAGGATGAGTCGCGGATCATCGGGGGCCAAGACTGCACCCTAGGCGAACAGCGCTACCAGGTTGTCCTCTCCAATAGCAAGAGAAATGGACCAGATATTCTGTGCGGAGGCGTTCTGATAGACAAGTACTGGGTTCTTACCGCTGCTCACTGTAACCAACAGGGGTAAGGAAACTCAAGATTGCTGATCCTGGGAGAAGGGCAAGGTGGGAAGGGCTTTGGGGTTATTAGCATCTCTGGAGCGGTTTTAATGTTGCATTGTAGCCATTGTTGCAGAAATGGAAGGTGTATCTTGCAGGGGAGCTTTCTGTTCACTTCCTTCCCTCCACAACCCTCTTAATTGCCCCTCCTACTGCGGTACCATACAACTCAGCCCACAATGTTCTCCTGTTCTTATTATTAAATAGGTATCAGACTGCGACCTGAGATGTCTAGGAAGTTTGCAGGTAGACAATCCTGTAAATACACAAAATCTAACCCACCCACCCCAAAAAAATAATTATCCAAGGGGATCTTGGATGAACTTTTCCCACTATCGGTTTCATATACATACATAAACACAGCAGGTATTGCTCCAGAAGCCATCTTGTGGTTGTAAAATGGAACGGTGGGACTTTCAGGGCTTTAATCTCAGACGAGTGAGTGGGAAGGAAAATGGTTTTTAGGTGCGTGTGACACTCCAGTGGTCTCAGATCTTGGCTGCATTTGGATGGTCATGCCTTAGGAACCCTTCAATGAAATGTGAAAATATCCAATCAAACCATGGTTTCCTGTGTTGCCCAAACCGAGAAACTATGCAACAAGCTGGGATATTAAACCACAGTTTAATATCCTGGCTTAAACAAAAGCTTTTAAGTATAGTATTCTGCTTTGAATTAAAAGGAAATCATGTTTAATTGGTGGCTTCTGGATGCTATGAAGAGGAGAGAGAGGGAGCCGCATTGTTTTGCTTCTTTTTTTTTTACACCTCAGCCTATTAAAATTAGATTAAATGTGGCTGCTGTTATCCTATATGCCTGGAATTAAGTTCTATTGAAGTAAATAGACCTTCTTTCTAGTGCAGTGGGTGAGATGACAAGACCACCCCCGTCCCCCAACCAGGTACAAGATTGAAGGTTTGACAGGGGATCCACTGTTCCATCCAGACTAACCCTCTAAATCGCCTAAACTCATAACAATGTATAAAAAGATTTATAGGCCGCTTAATGGCAAAACTCTCTAAGAAAAGTGTAAAAAAAACAACAACAAAGTATACACACAATAAAACAAGTAAAAACAAAGATGACTATGAGAAACATAGATGACTAAATTATATGCCTGAGTAGGCTTGTTAAAATACAAAAGGTGTTGGCTACAATGTAGCCAGGGTGTGCATGCACACACACACACACACACACACACACACACACATATATATATTCCATTCTGTTATTTAATGTGGATAGTAGCTTCCTGTAACTATTAATTGTTCATACTGTTAGGTTGTTGTTGGTAAAGTAGAAAGGAGAATTCCCTGGATGCCTAGATCCAGGTTTGGGGCAAGTAATCTTTGATGAGAGGGCCCCAGCAGAGATTTGAAATAACAAAACATGCGGCAAAACAAAGCATGGAAATATAGGCTATTAAGACTTTTAAAATATCCCCTTCTATGTTTCTTCTAAAGCTCCCAACTTCCCTTAGCATAGAAAGAAATCACACATTTGGTAAGTTTAAAATTGTTTACTTACAAACTCTTCAAAGGTCAGATACATGAGTTTGTCTACACAGCAGCAAGAAAAGACAGGCAGCAAACCTTAGGCTAGTTTCAAAGTGGTAAATGTTTCTAAGTTATTTGTATAGAAACACAAAGATGGCTTACTAAGGCTGTGTGGTCTAAGCTTGCAGCATCCAGCTTAGACATCCTTACTGGTAGGTTCACATGGTGGAAAGTGGGAGAACAAAGAGTTTGGTAATCTGTGCTCCCAAGGTGATGGAGAGCGACCTAGCTAAGCCTGTCAGGACAACTTACTCTATGGTCTTAACCCCTTCATGTATTAAGCACATTGGTTATATGAGGCTGATTTATCCCCCACACGTGACGTTTTCTTTCCAATCACTATCTTCTCATACCTTCCCCTCCTTCAATCCAGATTTTCTCATAACAGGGATGCTCTGAAAAGGGAAAGGTATAAGGAGATCTGGGCAGAGGGAGGGGGAAGTGTGGGGAGGCAGTGATTTGGAGGAAAACATCATGTGGACAATGGAGAATTAATAGAGGCACAGGAAGCTTGCTTATACACTTCAAACTGTATGGATGAGACTACATACAAAGAACAGCTGTACGTGGCATAATCTTTGATTTATTGGGATCAGCTGACAGCCGTAGAATATGCCATCCTCTATACTAATCTGTCATAAACAAGAGCAGAAATGTGAGAGCGAGAGCATACACGTCAGAGCGAGGAGGGTCTGACAATTAACCAGGAAGATGATGCCATCATTCCTGCTCTGAAAAAAATGCCCTTCCTCTTCACCACATTCCTACTCTGCTACACCTTGGTCAAAAAGGATGATGAAGCATTTGGAAGACAAGTCTTGCAGGAAACGGTTTACAGAAGACCTCACCATGTTTACCTTGGAGAGGGAAGAGGATTATCGTTTCCTAAGACGCTACCATAAAGGGAGGGTGACTCTTTTAGCCTTTTAGCTGGTTACCCACAAGGAGACAAGAAGTCTTGGCGCCATACCTTCCTCTCCTATTGCCTCACTGGAGGGCCTTCCATGAGTCAGTGTTATTTAGTGCTCAGATACTTCATGTGTATGTAGTCATCAGGTAATCTGGACAGAACAGTAATCAGAGCCGTAATCTTGCAGATCATCTTGTAAACTGAGCAATTTTTTTAAAAAAGGTCCTTACTCATGGAAATGACTCAAAGCAACTTATAAACACACTTCTCATGAGCCTGCTCCAACAGCAACAGTGGTCCAAGGAAGAAGGATCCAGAAACTTTCTCACTTAACAAACATCCTTAAAAAGCACTTGTCTTCCTGTCCCCATGGAAAATATATCCTTATAGTTTCACTTTTTTAAAAAAAAAGTGACTCTCATTAGGTTTTTCAGTAATGAAGTCTGAAGTTCCACTTTATTCATTATTATTATTATTGATTTGTTAAATTTACATCCTGCCTTTCCTACAAGGAGCTTTATTTTATCCTCACAACAGTTCAGTGAGGTTGTTTGGTGGGAAGACACTTCGCTTCATGGCTGATTTGGGATTTGAAACCTGTAAATACCACACCAGGCTTGTGTTACCTATAGATAAATCTGTCTATTTCTCTATCCCATGGGAGAGGAGGGGGAGAAGGTGTGATGGTGAAACACTGGTACTGAACACATTACTTTGTGGGAGAACTGTATTGCAAAATCTGGAGGAAAATGAATTTTGAGGGATGACTCTGTTTTGGTTCGGTGCGTTGTTTCAAAAACTACAAATCAAGTAGATTTGCCTTTGAATGTGAACTAAACCAAACATGCCCACCTTTCATTAAATTCCAGGAGTGGACACCCACCCTTCTTCCCATTCTGAGCAGAGGAGAAGTGCAAAGAGTTTCTCTCTGTGAACAAGAGGCCACCATTTTGTGTTATGCGACACACCTGCACGGCAGCCATTTTGTAATTGACAATAGATTATCTCCAAGATCTCTTCCAGCTCTGATTCTGGGGTGTTATGGAAAGGTCAAGTGATTATCCCATTATTGTGGTTGAAATGCTTCCTCTCTGAGGTTCAGTGCCCTGTGATTTAAATTTTCATGGAGAACAGGCCTACTCCTCTCTGTGGCATAGCTGTCAACGTTTCCCTTTTTTTAAGGGAAATTCCCTTATTCTGAATAGGATTCCTTAAAAGAAAAGGGAAAAGTCGACAGCTATGCTCCGTGGCTGGCCACGTCTACAAGAGGTGGCTGCTCTGCAAGACAGGACGGAGGTCTAGATGGGTCTTTGGAATGGTTTAGCAGGACTCTTCTTAGATTTATGTTCTTACGGCTTTTCTTTCTTTTCTTTTTCTCCTCCCCCTCTCCTTCCTGTTCTCATCCTATACAGGGTCATCCACACAAGGATGGGTGATCGCAGCCTCAGGGCGAACGAGGGCTCGGAGCAGTGCATCACATCTGCACAGAAATTCCCACACCCCAACTACAATCCCACCACACATGACAGCGACATCATGTTGATACGACTGAGCAATCCCGCCTTCATCAATGAATATGTCAGGCCTATTCAGCTGGCTACCCAATGTGTTCAGCCGAACACTCGGTGCCAGGTGTCAGGCTGGGGGACCACGACAACCCCTCAATGTACAGTAGATAATTTTCAATACATACCAGGGGCATGGATGTGGTGGGTGTAGAGTTGATGGCCGCAGCCTGCTCATGCAGTCTCCATCGCCACATTTTCCACCTGCACAAAGCATTATACCTCCCCACTATTTCTCATTCGTATTTTCTCTCTGTCTTTTGCGCAACTTTTAAATTTTCACCCTAATTGTCACGCCCTGCCCCAGATCTCCAAGTATTTCAACGTCTGTCGCCCAGTTTCGTTTTGTTTCTAAGAATAATCATCAGTTAATCACTGGGGTTCATTAAATGTGTGGAAATTTGCATGTGGGTAGAAAAACGAAAGTAAGCAGCATACTTTATAAATTATGCATGACGCTGAAGAGGTATTCTCCTAATAGGGGGATTCCCTCTTGAGAGCATTCCATCCTACCTACGATTTTCTCTTAAGATGCATTCCCTCCAAGATGCGTTCCATCTAGAGAGAAAAAGTATTCTTTTCCAGGAGTCCTCCTTAAAAGAGGAGGCATCCCATTCTGTGATTCCCTCTTAAGCTGAAGAGGCATTCTTAACCTATGTGAAAGTAAAGTGTGGTGCCTCTTTTAAGATGGTGGTTGTCATCTGCAGGTTTTTTAATTAATATGTGTAGTTTTTAAAAATGAAAAATATGCTGGGTGGTTTTTTTAGTAAATTAAACTTTTTCTTCATCGAGTAAACTAATGGATCAATTAGCCACAAAGCTAATTATTTCCCTTTCATATCTTCTGCTATAGCCATTCTCTCATATTTCAGAGTGCTTCCAGTCACGAAGGGGTTATTTCAGTGCTGTTAAAGAGTCCAGATTCAAATTTACCCAATGCAAAAAACAAAACAAAAAATCCTTCTTGGTGTGAGGTTCTGATTTGCTTTGCTTCCCAATTTCAGTTATAGTTTTTGAGGGTCATCAAAGTCTCCAACTCGCCATCTTGGTACCAAGTACCCTCTGGCTCTTGACGTTATCAGTCATCTGCCCTAGGTATGCAGAAGAAAAAAGAGAACCAATATCCTGACTGATCTTCAGAAGAGAATGCCAGCATTCCCTTTTAGGGAAATTGCAAATATATCTATTTATCTATCTATCTATCTATCTATCTATCTATCTATCATCTATCTATCTATCTATCTATCTATCTATCTATCTATATGGAACAAATTAGCATGCCCTGTGTAGTCCTGCAAAATGGGTTGTGTTCAATGTTAGTCCTCTACTCAGAGTAGACCCACTGATATTAATGGCTATGATGAACTTCGGTTCATTAATTTTGATGGGTCCAGTCTAAGTAGAAATTGGTTGGATGCAGTCCAATGTGTTTATTTACCTGTATACAGGTAAGTGGAGCTTCAACATTAAACTACCAGCTACACCAAACGTCCAAAGTTTCACTGCTCCAGATCTCCTGGCCTGCATCTATATATTTATTTGCTTGAAGTTAACAGAACACGATGACTAACAATCAAAACCAACAGTTATTTATATTTTTGAAAGTTGCTTGTTCACTATGCCTCTTGAAATATTATAACCACATTGAGCATGGTGGCTCCTGAGATCAAGCAGGTTCTTGCTTGTGTTCGGATACAGTTGGATGCCATCTTGAAACAAGGCTGAATCTTTGAAAACTGCATTGATTTTAACCCCTGATTTCAAAACTGCTCTGATTATTTGGTTTCTTACCATTCCCGAGTAATGCCATATAGGAAGTCGATAGTGAAATACAAAACGATCCACGGGTCAACTTAGGCTGGGGCTCATGATAAAAGTGGTGGCTTTTTCTCCAGTGTCGCCAGCACCTCCATAAAACCATCGGTGTTCTTTGTTTGCAGCACAGTTTCCTGACATCCTGCAGTGTGCCCAGGTCTACACAATTTCAAATGAAGAGTGCAACCAGGCATACCCCAATGGTATCACAGAAAACATGTTGTGTGCTGGTGTGAGCGGAGGCGGCGTAGACTCCTGCCAGGTGAGAGGCTTTCCCCTATTGGGCAAAACCCCCCACAAAATAATAAAGATGTTTGCCAGAACACCAGTTCAAAGCAGTTTCAGGTGGTCCATACCTGTGCCCTTCAAAATGGCGCACAACGTCATCTTCCACCCCTGGTGCCCACCAAGGCCCCTGTCGTTTTGGGGAGGAGAAGCTGAGGGAGTTTTGGCTTTCCTTGTTGTTGTTGTCCTTTTCTCGTTGCTTTATCTTTTGATTCAGGAGTTTGGGATATAAATAGTCTAAATAAGTATGTGAATAATTCTGCTCGGCAGGGCGACTCCGGTGGGCCCCTGGTGTGCAACGGGAAACTCGAAGGCATCGTCTCGTGGGGGATGCAGATCTGCGCACAGTCTGGCAAGCCCGGGGTCTACACAAAAATCTGCCGATTCACCGACTGGATTCAGAGCGTCATACGGAACAACTCAGTCAACCGTGCTGCAGACACTTGTTAGTGCCATGGGGAGATGCTACCGCCCTGGGACCTTGATCTCAAAATAAAGATAAGAAAGCCGAGATTTATTGCCATATTCTACCAGCCATTGGGAGGGGTCGCTATTGTGCTGTGGCGTTGTCTCTCCTTGGATTCCCTAGCGCTTTGTGTGCCTCAAGGTTATTTACGTACAAAAAGGACCCACAACAAAATGTTGCCGTGTGTGGAGTGCTCCCTCTTCAGGATTCTAGCCACTTCATCCCATTCCCTCTTCGCCCCAGTTGTGTTGCCCTCAACAGGCAGTTGTCATTCCACATTTATGGAGCATGCTCAGTCCTCAATGAGCTCGGGGTGGCAATAGGGTTTATCTATTTTAATACGACTAAGCTACCTTTCTGGACCAAGTTCGCACAAGGCAGAGAACAACATACAAGCATAAAATGACAATGCCGTTATAATAAAACTTTGCCATGAAAATCACAAAAAACCCCAAGGATACAATAAAATACAACTCAACCACACAAAACAAGGGTTGCCAACCTTTCAGGGGCCTAGGGGCCCATTTGGAATTTTGAGGAAGTGCCACGAGTATCAGTCACAAAATGGCTGCTGAGGGGGTGTGGGGTAATAATAATAATAATAATTTTATTATTTATACCCCATTCATCTGGTTAGGTTTCCCCAGCCACTCTGGGCAGCTTACAACACATAAAAAATTGTAAAACATTAGGCTAAACACAGAACAAAACTTCATACATTTAAAACTTCCCAATACAGGGTTTCCTTCGGATGTCTTCTAAAAGTCAGATAGTTGTTTATTTCCTTGACAGCTGGTGGGAGAGCGTTCCACAGGGTGGGCACCACTACCGAGTAGGCCCTCTGTAACCTCACTTGTCGCAGTGAGGGAACCGCCAGAAGGCCCTCGGAGCTGGACCTCAGTGTCTGAGCTGAACGACGGGGATGGAGACGCTCCTTCAGGTATACTGGGCAGAGGCCATTTATGGGTTTAAAGGTCAGCACCAACACTTTGAATTGTGCTCGGAAAAGTACTGGGAGCCAATGTAGGTCTTGACACAAGATGGTGTCAACCGTGCATCTCATGAGAGGGATCTCTGAAAGGTAGGGGGTGGTCTGCAAAAAGGTTCTTGATGCCTAAGGCAGAAGTTTTTGGGAGTTCACATGGACAATGAAGACCACCAAGGTTGTACTTTAATGGATTTTATGAGCAGGGAGAGGAAAATAAGGAACAACACAAGAGGAATCACAGAACCAGAGAACTGTAGGTTTGGAAGGTACCCACCGAGGGTCATCTAGTCCAAACTCCTGCAGTGCAGCAATTACAGGAATCAGAAAAGATCTTACAGCCCCATCTGTTGCCCAAGAATCTCTTTCCCTTCTTGGGCAGGCAACAGGTTGAACACCTTACAGGTGGAATGTGCAGCACTGGTGTCAACATCACGGCCTGCACCATGAGTCCAACTCACTCTTTGTGGCCTTGGTCCTTATTTATTATCTGGGAGTGCTGACGATACTTTAGCTCCCATGCCTGGGGTCACCACCCTGTGACCTTCTCTAAGTTTATGTATGGCAAGTTCAGGTGAGTAGTCATGGCCAACAGTGAACTACAAAGTAATGGGACAACCTAGATATTCCCATCCTACGCTAGTCAGCGCTTAAAAGTGCCGAGTCACTGTTTTATGACTCACATGTGAGCCTAGGTAGCCCTAGCTCTAAGGGATACATGGCCCCACAACTCCCGGCCAGGTGGCCTTTCTAGTATAGATACTGTTTCTAGGAAGCTGTGATTCATGCTTAAAGAACTCGACAGAGCTGCACTTTTCTATCTACCAGCAAGTGCTAGGTGCAGGCCTGAACACGTTTGTGGGACATCCAAAGGGGTACATAGTACATAATACATAGGCAGTACTGTAGCATGCACATACATAGAATTACCATTCAGACCTTCCACCAAATGGACAGGATGAAGGCAGCTGCCACACCGACGCTGGGGGCAGATCCAGAAGGCACCTTCTAGTGAACTCATGGAGAACATTTATGACTGAAGCTCTAGTAGATGCTAATCTTGGATCTGCAAATAAAAAAAAGGATTCTGTTAGCAGATCTTAATGCGCATGTTGGAGCTGTGGAGATGCTCTTCATATAGGAGAATGCTTCACTGGCAGAAGAGCGGTGTTTATATGAGCCCAAATCATTCAAACTTTTCTAGGTCAAAGCCACCATTTTGAATTGGATCTGGGGTGGGGGGATGGTAGTCAATAGAGCATTGTAAGACAGGTGTAACAAACTCTCATTGGCCTGTGCCTGTCAAAGGATGGGCCACAGCAATATTTTCAAATTTCCAGACAGTCTTCAAGGGCAGCCCCACCTTTGTGCCCTCTAAGCCATGCCTAGAACAACATATGTGAAAATAAGAAAGCAGTGCATGGGAGATCCATCAAGTCAGACTCATACCCTAGGAATGTGTAGGGCTGGCCTGTCCATTTTGTAGATGGGACAGTGGTTCCGGGTGCCAGCCCTAAAGATACCTTCTGCTGCTTTCCTTGGCGGTGTGACCTTTCTAGAGCCTGAGGTCTATCCAGACTTGTTTGGGCGGCGTGGGCTGCAATTACCTCGCAACCACCACTTCACTTAGCTCATGCTTTGTGTCTGGCAAGAAGTCTGTCTGGGCTGGTTGTGAAACCAAAGTTTTGCTGCCATAGGGAAGGGAGCAATTAAGGGAGAAGGCAGCGCAAGGGAATTGCCCTGAACCTAGGTCTAAAATGGCACAGCAAGCTTCCAGATGGGGCAAGGAGCGGGTGGCTACACAAAGCTGCAGAAGAGTGTATACATTTGACTATAGAAAGCGTGCCCCCACCCACAGGAATGTAGGGATTTGCCTTGTACCAAGTCCATCTAGACATCTGTTGTCTACACCAGCCTTGCCCAACTTGGTTGCCCCCTCCAGATGTTTTGGATAGCTCCCATCATCCCCAGCCAGTATGTCCTTGTTGCAGGCCCAAACATCTGGAGAGCACCAGGTTCAGGAAGGGTAGCATAACCCTGAAATATGGGCCAGTGTTGTTGTCCTGGCATGTTGGGTGTTTTCAGGAAAATCTTTAGTCTACCCAGGCCTTGTCACCAGCTCACCACCCATCAGATAAATTGTAGACCTATTCACTGATGCTAGTATGTATGCTTCCTAACTTACTTACTCCTCTGTGCACCACTGGGAAAATTCCTGTGGGCACCCATCCCTCTAAGGTCAAACACACACACACACACACACACACACACACACCGGAATGCGCAACTATTTTTTAAAAAAGACATAATCTTAATAGGAAAACTGTGTTGCTGTGTCCCTAAATAACTTTTTTAAAAAACTGAAACAGACATTCTACTATTTTACAAAACTCAAATTATTGGAACCATTTTGAAGCAGACACTTTTTGTGTCTTCTGTGGTACAGCCCATTTTTTTACCTTTGCTGCCTCCAGCGTTGTTAGAATCTCTGCAGTAACTCAGATGCAGGCTTATATAGCAGCAGGCCACCCCCATACTGTACAAAGAGACCACATGTTTGGTAAGTTAGAAATGATTTACTTACAAACTCTTCAAAGGTCAGAGTCATGGGCTTTTTTGTACAGCAGAAAGAAAATTTAGGTAATAAACTTAGGTTCCAAAGTAGTAAATATTTCTAAATTATTTGTATAAAACCAGAAAGATGGCTGTCTAAAGCCACATGGTCTAAGCTTGGTTCATATATTCAAATAGAATTTCCTGGAGCATCCAGCTTTGACCTCCTTCTTAGTATGGTTCAAAAGGCGAAAAGTGAAAAGAACAAAGGCTGGATAACCATTCCCAAGGTGGAGTGTGTGACCTAGCTAAGCCTGGCAGGACAGATAACTCTATGTTCTTAACCCCTTCATCATTAATTAGTTTTAAGGATGTTGGTTATATGAGGCCTCTTACCCCACATTCAGGCCGGTGGGCACATTCGCTTTTTAAGTGAGTGCTTTTGGTCATGTCTCTCTACTATCCACTGGATCAGTTCCCTACCGGGGGGGGGGGGGACATATGCCAAGTTTGAAGCAGAAATAGGTGCAGAAATTGCCAGTGTTTGCTTATACATCCCATGTTGAGAGCAGAACTAATTCAACTGAATATGATCAGAAATCACAGCTGTTATCATTTTCAGTCTGCAAACAATCTGTAATTGTTTATGTCCCACCCACCCCCACCCTGGCCACCGCCATGTTTCCTTTGCACTGAAATGAATGGGTTGGAATAATGTAACTGTAACTTAACTTACATAATTTATATAATCAGTTCCACAAATTGCATAATGTTCACTGTTTACATATTTAATTCCATAAATTGAGTAAGTTAAGCAAGTTATGCTGACAGCGAGACAAAGAACATAATTTCTGGCAGAAGACAAACTGCAGCAGAACAGAAACGGTGACGCATGTGACGGAGACAGACAGGGTGGGACAGAAAACGGTGCTTTTTTACATCCCTTTCTCTGAGACAGGCAGCTTCTCATGGCATATTCACCTAAAGCCCATTGTGGCAAAATTGGGGCTCCTTTGATTTAACATGACCGCAGTGTTGTGAGGTCAGATAGGCTGCTAGCCAGGGCTGGCACCAACACCTGGTATCTTTGGACAGTTGACAAGTCCCAGCTCCCTTCCCTTTAATTCCCCACCCTGATCTGGTGCTCTGTGCAATGCTGGGCTCTGCATTTCAAATTGGGTTCCTTTGGACTGAAAGGTGAGCTAAAAGCAGCCTGACTGAACAATGAATTAATGAAACCAACCACAACTTTCCAAGTGAGCAACTTTCCGCAAAGCAGGTTCCATTCCCGTGATCTGTGTTTTTAACTTGCGCAGTTCCTTGGGCTTGACAGAAAATTATCACCAGGTCTGTGCATTTACGCTTTTCAACCCAGTTAAAAACTAAAGCGGCAAAGACCTGTCGTGGAACAATAGTGGGGAGGCTGACACTAATCTCTCTCTTTCTAAGGCCCTTCCCAGCGACCATTGCTCAATTTGCAGCCTTATCCAACAAAGAGGGGGAAGATCCTTGTAATAATAATTAAAGGCTGACACCTCTTCATTAGGAGGAGTGCCTAGAAATTAACAATGGCAGAGGAGGCGTCTGAGGCCCTGTAAAGGCATGTGGCGGATGCAGGCACAAGTCGTGAAGAGAAGCGTTGGCCCTGTTGGGACGGGAAAGTATACAGCAGTTGGGAAGAGCTCCGAAGTGGGACTTGTGCGGACTAAGGCATCAAGGAATCTGCTGGATACAAAACTAGTCACACATGGTGATGAATACTCTTTAGCACCCTGCTCATTAAAGTAGAACCAGCCAGGCGTTGTCGGCAGGCATCAGGCCACAGTGTTCCTCCAAACCCTCCAGTTGTATCACAGACAGGTAGGTGGGACCGCTCTTTATCTTTCTCAGAGATGGATGTCATCCTTCTGAGATCTCACCAGAGAAGGTGACTAGGAGGCCCTTGTTTGGAAGCAAAGCTTCCCAGTTCATCATGAAAGATTGTGGGCAAGGGGGCTGTCGAAGATTTCAATCAGATTTTTGTTGTTGTTGCAAGTGACCTTTTGATAGAAGGGGCTACTGGAGAGCTCCTTACAAATATACATCTGTTTTTCTATTCCCGTGCTCATCGGAATGGCCCATAAAATGTCAGAATGCATTTTGTTTTGTGCCATTTAGTTCTGGTTATACCTATTGATAAGTAACCTGCCTACAAATGCCAGATAGTAATTTTTCATAAAACGTTTCTATGGTAAAGAAGCATGTTTTACTTTCAAGCTGATGTTCAACTAATACCCTTCTTCTTGAGTTTCCATTTCTTCCTATCACAAGAAGAACTGTGTGTGTGTGTGTGTGTGTGTGTGTGTGTGCACGTGCGTGTGTGTGTTTTAAAAAAGTGATGTGAGATTTCACTTTTGAAAGGATGGCTATTTTCCTGTGTCTCATAGAGTTCCCCAGCCAACTGGGAAATATATGCAAGTAAATCTATTTTAGTGTTCTCAATGAAGGGCATTATAGATTTATTTATTTTTTAAATCCCATATAGACCAGAACATGCCTCTGAATGACAGCTGGGTGATGATGGACAATATGCCACAACTGTCTCTTATTTACCAGAAAGAAATCCTCTTTCTTGGTATCTATCCCTGGTAAAACACTGCCCACTTTCCTGCCTTTTAAAGAGATGTAAGCCCTCTGACTTACTCCAGGGTGACTTACTCCAGACAGCAGCCATGACTGCTTCCCTTAATGTGAAAGGAAGGTGAGACAAAAACACCTCCTATTGTACCTAGGAACTGGATGGAAATTCAATTCAGTTTGCATTTAAAAGTGAACTTAACAGATTTGCACTTCAAAACTCACACTTTTCCAAAGTTTGAAATGCACTTCTCTAGTAAAGTAAGAGAATGCAAATACTGGGGTAAAGTGTTCACACTTTCTAGTTTAAAAATAACATTAAAATGCAATATCGGGGTCAATTGCTTTGCAAAAATGTGTCTATTAGGGGAAATTGCTTTACTGGCCGAGGGAGCCGATGTTTGTCCGCAGACAGTTTTTCCGGGTCATGTGGCCAGCATGACTAAGCCGCTTCTGGCAAACCAGAGCAGAGCACGGAAACGCCGTTTACCTTCCCGCCGGAGCGGTACCTATTTATCTACTTGCACTTTGACGTGCTTTCGAACTGCTAGGTTGGCAGGAACTGGGACTGAACAATGGGCGCTCACCCCATCGTGGGGAGTTGAACCGCTGACCTTCCAATCAGCACCACAGCACCACCCGCGTGTATACTAGAAGTCTGCAATAAAATTCTGCTGAATTCTTGTGAGGATTTGTTCATACAAAATTCACAAACTGATATGGAAATGTGGAGAGCTGAGTTGTAACATCCTGAATTGGGGTGGGGGGTGGATTGTCAAGGATCATTTGGATGACCTTGAACTATGAACTTAACATGAACCAAATTAGTCTGCTTTGTAAAGGGATGGTGGGAATCTGGAATCAGTTCCTTTTTCGACATGTTGGACTTGAACTAGTTAAAACAGGCTTTCTAAGCTCTGAAAATTGTGTGCTCTGCCAACAATTGGTGTCCTTCTCCCTTTGAGGCTTGAGGTATCGCAGTGAATTTCACACCTAGGCAGAAATGTGAATTCAGGTATCTCTACATCCTAGGGATGGTGACTATATTGCTGGACTACAACTCCCATCATCCCTTACCAATGGCTGCAAGGGCTGGTGGAAATAGGAATTCAAGAATATCTGGAGAGCCACTGGCTCCCCATTCCTACTGTACCTGTGGCGGTGGCCCAAAGGGCCACAATAAATGTGATAATGTGTACCTCTGTAAATCCTTGAGTTTGCTTCTAATAGAGAAGTTATGGTAGCCTTTTACTTTATGAAACTGATGGTTTTGCACGTTGCCACAAACACAACTGCCCCCCGCCCCCCTATTGGGGCAGAAATATGTGCCCCACATGTGCCCCACATGTGGCTAATATGTGAATCACAAAGATACAGCTCAAAGCTAGAACGTAAGTTGCTACATGGTGCAAATGGCTACCCAACATGCATACTAACACAATGTAACAGAACATGGTGGGAATCAGAACTTAATCAACATAAATTGCCATTGCTTATGGTGCATATGTATTAAACGTGAAATGAGGTAATGATGTATATGATTGGTGAAAATTGAAATGCTTTGTTTGAAATTTTATAAATACCACTGCCTGGACAACCAGGCAGGGTTGCAGTTTTGTGGGACGATGTGACTGTAACCTATTACCTATTACCCACTATCCACAAACACTACCTTGGCTGTCTGTGACCATTTGCTCTGCATGTCTCCTCAGCAGGTCTACTGACAGACAGGCCCTTCACGGTCTCATGCAGTGACATGACAGCCATGGAGATGGTTTCACTGGCACTGCTGTTGGTGTCAGCAGGTAAGAGTGTACAAACATGTTTCCAAAGCCAGTCACTGTTCTAAATGGAGATTTCAACCTCAGGTAAATGACAGTGCACATGAAGCATGTTGCTCAGATGTACATAGGATATGCCAAGTCAGATCAGTAATGTCAGCACTGACTGGCAGCAGCTCTCCAGGATTTGAGGCAGGAGCGCCGCCCAGCCCTACCTGGAGACGCACTATTTGAGCCTAGGACCTTGTTTCACTGAGCACTGGTGCAGCTTTCCTCAGCCTCAGGGCTGCATTACCTTGTAGGCTACCTTCCGGGGGCCATATTGCAGTGGTTGGTGGGTGGGGCCAGAAGGAAAAGTGGGTGGAGCAACAAATGTTAGTTTACTCACACATCACTCTCTGTCCTTCCTCCAGGTAAACAAGAAGCATTGGCAGAGTTCAAGGATATTTTCTAGCCAGGACAGAACATTCCAGAAGGGTGCAAAGCAGGACCAGTGAGAAGTGTGGGCTGTGGAGAAGGGGTGCAGCTGGGAAGCAGGTGTGGCCTGTGGGGAGTCCTGAGGCCCAAATAGAGAGGGCTGCAGAGCTGCTTTCACACACACACACACACACACACACACACACACACCTGAGGTTTCCCACTCTTTCCATATAACAAGGGTGGGGAACCTCTATCTCACAGGCCATTCATGGCCTGCCGGGGGCGGGGGTCTAAGTTGGCCCATAAGACCATTTTTCCCAAGCCATGCCAGTCCACCCATCAGCTGTCCACTCAGCCCATCCACTCAGCCAGCAAGGAACAGAGGCACACAGGCAAACTGAGAAGGATTTAACGCCTGCTCATCAGCTAGTGAGCAGGGGGTGAAATCCTGCTCAGTTCAGCAGCATTCCATGCAAATCCCTCCCTGATTCAGGAAGCGGTTTGCATGGAAACCCCATTAGAAGGATGGGGAGAAAGTTTGTTTTAGCAGCACCTTGCTGCAAGGGGCTTTGACATCCCAACTTTGGGGCTTGTAAGCACCTTGCATCACAAGTCATTGTGACATCAGGTGGTTAATAATAATAATAATAATAATAATAATAATAATAATAATGTTTATATACCGCCCTTCATCATAAGATCTCAGGGTGGTTCACAGAATAAAACTGCCCAGGTGGGCAGTTCTTCTGATAGACGTCGGAGGCCAACAATACCTGGAGGGCCATGGATTCCCATCCCATGATCTATGCATGCAACTAGCCATGGTAGCTGTGTACAGGCTCCAAGTTCAGAGGCATCTCTAGGTACCAGTTGCTGGGGATGCAGCAATGGAAAAGAGCTATGGTCTTCATCTTCTTCTGGTGGGCATCCCAGAGGCATCTGATTGGCCACTGTCTGGGAAACAGGATGCTGGGCTCGATGGACCCTTGCCTCTGGTGACGCAGCAGAGCCTTTCTTACTGTCCCTGTTCTTGTCTCTCTACCCCCACCCCCACCCCGATTTGCAGCGGCTGCGCAGGAAGAGTCACGAATCGTTGGAGGAACCGCATGCATGAAAGGTTTCCAACCTTGGCATGCAGCCATCTATGACATGAACCGGTTCTATTGCAGCGGGGCTCTGGTGACCATGGAGTGGGTGTTGACCGCTGCACACTGCAGACTCCCAGGGTACGCCTTTGCCTCTTTGACCTAGCAGACTGCTTCAGGGAATCTGATCACTCCCACGGTGGCAGCCAAGAAGTAGATACAAAAAACATTTCTTACCAAGTAACTTATTCACTATGCACCCAGAGAGAGAGACGAAGGAATGCAGTCGACCTAGGATAATGGCGTTGCTCTGAGTGAAGTCCCACCCCTTCCATGTCTCCTATTATATGTCACCCCTGCGCCAGCTGATCTGTGCTTTCTGCCTCTGAGTTTTCTGTTCTATTAATCTCAAGGCATGCCTTGTTCTGGGAGGGGGGGTCAGGAATGCTTTCAAGGGACACTGAGTCTATTAGCTGTCTCTTCCCTGGTGCTTCTTCTTCTTGCTGCTCTCCCAATATTTCCCAGCTCCTCCCCTCTGCAGCCTCTGAACTATGCCCTTCTGCAAACCACTGTTCTAAATCTATACTTTCCTCCTGTTCTCGGGAAGGTTCAGGAGGAGGTTCAGGAGAAGGTTCAGGAGGAGGAGGGCGGGCCTCACCATTCCTCCTCAGTCCAGCCCCTGACACAGACTGCCTCTAGCAAAATCCCCTCTTCTGCCTAAGGGCCCCTCCAGCTCTCAGTACTGTTAGCACCTGCAAAAGGTTTGGGACAGTCACACTAGTTCCACTTCCAGTCAGTGAATATCCTGTAACTTCCTGCTGAAGCCCCACAACTTTTTATGCTGCAGATGTTCCGGATTCATATTTGTCCTGCTTTTGTTACACAATATCCCCTCCAGACGGCGATAGTGTGGTTGCATTGGGGAAGCATTACGGAACAAACTAAAGCAGAATGAACTTGCCACTAATCCACAGTGATTGAGGCAAGACCATGTTGCAGAAGACAATGAAACATCAGCCTAAGTGGTTAACAGGTCACAAGACTGCACCATGAACTTTGCTCTAGCTGTGGCAGTTCTTGTAAGAGAAAATGGAAAGTAGTGGTGGCATCTTTTATACTAGGATGAAAAGCTTCTTTTGTTTACTGCAAAGGGTTACATTCTCTAGAAGATATTATGTTAGGGGCTGGTGGTTGATGGTGGTGGGACTAGAGCCAGAAGTGGGTGGAGTACCCCCTCTCTCTGCCACCTCTTCTCACTCTTGGGCAGTGCACACACCATACATTTAAAGCACATAACTTCTCCCTCCCTGCACACAAAAATCCTGGGAACTGTAATTGGTTGAGGCTGCTGAGAATTCTAGCTCTGTGGTTGATAAATTATAATCCCCAGGATCCTTAGGGTTAAAAGAATGTACAATGGTACCTCAGGTTACATACGCTTCAGGTTACAGACACTTCAGGTTACAGACTCCACTAACCCAGAAATAGTACCTCAGGTTAAGAACTTTGCTTCAAGATGAGAACAGAAATCGTGCTCCGGTGGCTTGGCGGCAGCGGGAGGCCCCAATAGCTAAAGTGGTGCTTCAGGTTAAGAACGGACCTCCGGAACGAATTAAGTACTTAACCCGAGGTACCACTGTATTTAAATGTATGGCGTGTGTGAAGCCTCTCCTCCAGCCTCCTGTCACCTGCATGAAATTAGACTGAGGGCCACATGAAATTAGGGCAAGTTGCCCACCCAGCTGTCAGGAGCTGGAATCGGGAGCAGGCTAGCAATAAAACACCCTGTGTCAGTTAACGCTTTATTCAAAGAAACTAAAATAGCACAGGCCTAGTGATTCCAGCAACTCTTCCCAGGTCTTGCTTCAAAGAGGCAGTTGTGAGAACTTCCCACTGCTCTCTAAGACTCCTCCCTTGGGTCTTTCCCCAGCAACCTGAGGTGTCTTTATCTTGTCTCTCTTTGCTCTGCCCTCTTCATTCCTCCTCCTGGGAGACCAGGAGGAGGGGAGATGGTCACCTCAGGAAGAGGATATTTCCCTGGCTCCTTCAGCAACCAGCCTCTTGGCACCCCTCCTCTCCAGCCTCTGCTTCTGCCTCTCATTCTGGACTGCTCCCTGCCACAGCCTCTTCCCACTCACTGAACCCTGTTGCCTCTTCAGCTTCCAACACCTCCTCCTCCCAGTCTCCCCCCTCTTTCCCTCTGACCATTCATCGTCATCCCACCAACAATCCCTGGGCTCTGAGCCTTGTTCCCCTGGGGGTTCCCTTGGGGGTTCCCCAGCCAGTCCATGACACCATGCCACTCTAGACTTTTAACTACAGTGGTACCTTGGGTTAAGTACCGTATTTTTTGCTCTATAAGACGCACCAGACCACAAGACGCACCTAGTTTTTGGAGGAGGAAAACAAGAAAATGAAATATTCTGAATCTCAGAAGCCAGAACAGCAAGAGGGATCGCTGCGCAGTGAAAGCAGCAATCCCTCTTGCTGTTCTGGCTTCTGTGATAGCTGTGCAGCCTGCATTCGCTCCATCGGACGCACACACATTTCCCCTTACTTTTTAGGAGGGAAAAAGTGAGTCTTATAGAGCAAAAAATACGGTACTTAATTCGTTCCGGAGGTCCGTTCTTAACCTGAAACTGTTCTTAACCTGAAGCACCAATTTAGCTAATGGGGCCTCCCGCTGCTGCTGCACTACCGCTGCACGATTTCTGTTCTCATCCTGAAGCAAAGTTCTTAACCCGAGGTACTATTTCTGGGTTAGCGGAGTCTGTAACCTGAAGCGTCCGTAACCTGAACCATATGTAACCCGAGGTACCACTGTATTTCTCTTTCTCGCAGATTTCCCAAGTAACCCCCTTTTGCCTTGCTCTCCTGCAGCACCACTTACGTGCGCCTGGGAGTGCACAACATGTTGCGCATGGAGGACACTGTACAGCAAAAGAGAGCGGTCCGGCTCGTGCCTCACCCAAACTACGATTCCGTCAGCAAGGACAATGACATCATGCTGATCAGGCTCTCCTCGCCAGCGGCCATCACCGACAGTGTCCAGCCCATCAACGTGGCCAGTCAGTGCGTTGCTCCAGGAACGCGGTGCCTTGTGACAGGGTGGGGCAGGACCAGCAGCTCAAAACGTAGGGCCTTCGAATATTTTAACATTTTTAAGGCAGAGGTGGGAGAGGGGCCATAGGAGCAGCTGGAAAGATTTTGCCACCATACAGATGTGGGTTGTGTGGATCAAGCAAAGCATGCAATCGATCGAGATCCCTTTATTCAAACGATGTTCCAAAGAACGCAAGCAAAGGCCAAATAATGCCAACAAAGCTTAATAGTGCCTACACGGGCTGGCAGCAGCTCTCCAGGGTTTCAGGCAGGAGCTGGAGATTGAACCTGGGACATTCTTCATGTGAAGCAGATGCTCTACCCTGGAGCTACAGCCCTTCTCTTGGAAGCGGCCTTATTGTCAGACCAATTGCCCATCTAGCTTAGTAGTGTCAACACTAACTGGCAGCAGCAAGTCCAGATTTTCGGACAGTGTTTCACCACCCAGCCCTGAAATATATCTCTGTGTATGTGTGGTTTGTGAGAGAGAGGGAAGGGTGTGCTTGGGCAGAGAGAGCGGGGAGATATATGTGTGGCTTTGTATTTGTGGTACGTATGTGTGTGTAAATGTGAGAAATGCCTATGTGGTATATTTTTCCAAGTACTAGGGAATGCTTCCAGGTGTTTTTTAGATAGCAACAGCATAATTGAGTCTGTGTGTGTGGCGGGGGAGGGGGAATTATTACATTATTTCCACATTTGGGACCAGCAGCACATAGCGGACTTCCCATGGTCGCCTTGCCCGAGAGGGAGCAGCAATGACTGTGCACTCTCTAACTCTGTGTCCTGTCATGCTCCTGTGGGCACCATTTTGTGACTGGCACCCGCCACCCTTTCGCAAAATTCCAAGTGTGCTACTGGTCCAAAACGGTTGGCGACCCCTAACCTTGGTAACTGTCGTCTCTACAGCAACCATCCCTGAAGAACTGCAGTGTGTTTATCTCCCCATCATCACGCAGAGCGAGTGTGAGGCGGTGTATCCTGATGCCATCACAGAGAACATGTTGTGCGCTGGCGTGAGGGAAGGGGGTGCTGACACTTGCCAGGTGAGGAAAATGCTTTAATTCAGAGGCAACTTAGGGTCAAACTAGATCATGGTTAGCCAAATTAAGACCCGGGGGCCGGATCCGGCCCAATCGCCTTCTAAATCCAGCCTGCGGACGGGCTGGGAATCAGCGTGTTTTTATATGAGTAGAATGTATCCTTTTATTTAAAATGCATCTCTGGGTTATTTGTAGGGCATAGGAATTTGTTCATTTCCCGTCCCAAAATATAGTCCAGCCCCCCACAAGGTCTGAGGGACAGTGGACTGGCGCCCTGCTGAAAAAGTTTGCTGACCCCTGAACTAGATGGTGTGCAAATTGCATGATTGTATGATACAGAGGTGCCGATTTGGGCCCCAAGTTTTGGGTGCCCAGCGTGGTGTCATGATGTCACGTTAGGACACGATGTTATGACGTCACACGCCCCACAGCCTCAGAACCTTACTTCCGGCGGCTATGGAAATCCATTTCCAAGGTCTCAAAAGGCCTTGGATAGCATCTCTGAGGTCTCGGAAGGCCTCAGACGTGACTTCTGGGGCTTTGTGAGGCACTGGAAGTTGCGTCGGGGGCCCTGCAGTGTGGGTGCTGAGCACCCACAATTAATTTTTTTAATTGTAAAATCACCCTAGAGATGGCACCCCTGGGATGGGAGAGAGAGAGACAGAGGGGAGGTACAATCAGGATCAGCATAATGGCTCCTTTAAAACTATTTCCCCCATGTCACTTTCCAAATACAGTATAAACATTCCAAGCCAGCGCTGCCGTTAGGCAGAGTGAAATGAGGCAATGAGCAGCTCAGAGGTGTTGGGAGGACGAGAGTCCTGTGCCACCATGCCTGAGGCAGCCCATCCAATTCACCATATGAAATGGAAAGGTGCCACTCCCTGCCCCACCTGTGCTGTCATTCCCCCCACAACTATTGCCACCACCAGACTGCCCTCCCCCCACGCCAAACTCAGCAAGAGCCAAAAGTCCAAAAGTAGCTGGAGTGCACCTTGTTCGCATTTTGCCTGTTTCCTGCTATGGTCCTTATTGTCTCTAGTCCTTGTTCGGACACCTTGTTTCTTGGGCCGTACTTTTCGCCACCTGCTTTCCGTCTGTTCCAAAGTGACTTTCATGTAATTGCTTAATTTTACAAGATGTTTTAAGCCCGGAACTGGCTGAGGACAGTAGAGGCTTGTGTGCCCGTGGCTGTGTTACAGCATCTGTGAGCTGCTAAGACCGAGACTTTTTCTGTGTTTAAACACCCCGGAACTGCCACTTCATGTTTAGTTTCAATAGCCAGGACCTGCAGCAAAATGCTGTGGTTTGGGACTGCTCCAGTTCAGGGTTTCAGCCAGCCATGCCCACTCCTAGGATACTCCATTCCATTTTACTCTCTCCACTCCTCCACTGCCCACCCCACCCCCGGCAACAGATACTGCACATTCTATGGCCACTGAGCATGCTCAGTCTTCACTGGACTGTTTTAGGGTTTGTTCAGGGTTTCTGTCTCTTTCAAGGTTTTCCCCCTGAAGTTTTTTTGTACTTTTACAAACCTCAAGGTGGAGATGGGTGTATCTGTGGGTATCAGTTTCACTCAGTTGCTAATTTTTCCACTCTTAAGTTCAGTACTCCACACTTTCAGATCAACTCGTGACTTAGAAAATAAATATCTTCAAGAACAGTCCTCAGCATTTTAGTGCTGATGTTTGTATGCAGTGTTGCCTGATATGAGCATTTTTGCAAAGCACATTTCCCTAATGTGGTGCATTTTGTATGGTGTTTTCACTAAGACATGCATTTATATGTACACCTTGCTCTGGTATACGCATTTTTGTACACATGACAAAATTTGGAGATACGTAATCTCCAGAGGTGCCACATGATGACTGTGTACAGGATACTCTTTCTTTTCTTTTCTTTCTTTCTTTCTTTCTTTCTTTCTTTCTTTCTTTCTTTCTTTCTTTCTCTCTCTCTCTCTCTCTTTCTCTCGCTCTTTCCCAGGCACTCGCTTCTTCTTAACAGAGATCTGAACAGATTGCTTGCAAAAGTCACTTGAAATTAAGCCAAAGATGAAATGTTCTATTAAGACTTCACATGGGGGTGGGATTTTCTCCCTGTGCAGGGCGATTCTGGGGGACCCCTCATCTGCAACGAAGAACTTCAGGGCATCGTGTCTTGGGGTCCAGAGGTGTGCGGCCAGCCTGGGAAACCAGGTATCTATACTAAGGTCTGCAACTACGTCGGCTGGATCCGGGAGGTGATACAGCGCGGGTGACGCCAGCTCAGAGACGAAGCGCACAAATAAAGCATAAGAAATGAACTCAAGTCTGCATCTCCCTTGTTCTCTCCCCCTCACCCCAGTGCACAAACATTATCCCATGCCTTTTCCACTCCCTGTGCCTACAAGGATGCATGTCGACCAGGCCAGTGATCAACGAGGTCGGGCGCATGCTGAGGCTGAGACTAACGATGGCCCATTGAGGGGCAGTCCTGTGTGGGAGGCTCACCCTGCTGCCAACTTTCCCCAGGTGCTGAAGGCAGATCACCAATTGCAGAAGGTTCCAGGAAAGCGTAAGGCAGGGGTGGAGAACCTCAGGCCTGGGGAACAAATGCGGTCCTCCAAGCCTCTTTTTCTGGCTCTTGGGTCTTTGCCCAGGCCACACCCTCTCCTTAGCCACACATTTTCTCCCCGGGACATTTACCTCATCAGCCCTGCTTCATGCCCTTCTGGAATGCCCGAGAAAAAAACACACCAAGAACTCTGGCCAATATAAGTTTCAGTAGTGGGAGTGGTCCCTACTTCTTGAATGCCCAGCTGGGTGTGTCCTTGCCCTCTCATTCATTCATTCATCAATGGGGGAAACAGGGGTCTCCTAACAGCTCTCAACAACCTAAGCAAACTATCATTCCAGGACTGTTTAAAAAGGTTTGTTACTGTTTCAGAAGAGGGACGCGGGTGGCACTGTGGGTTAAACCACTGAGCCTAAGGCTTGCCGATCAGCAGGTCGGCAGTTCGAATCCCCACAACAGGGTGAGCTCCCGTTGCTTGGTCCCTGCTCCTGCCAACTTAGCAGTTCAAAAGCACGCCAAAATGTAAGTAGATAAATAGGTACCGCTCTGGCGGGAAGGTAAATGGCATTTCCGTGCGCTGCTCTGGTTTGCCAGAAGTGGCTTAGTCATGCTGGCCACATGAGCCAGAAGCTGTACGCTGGCTCCCTCGGCCAATAAAGCGAGATGAGCGCCGCAACCCCAGAGTCGTCCGCAACTGGACCTAATGGTCAGGGGTCCCTTTACCTTTACCTTTACTGTTTCAGAAGTGCAGTGCAGGATTAAAATCAGAACTGTTGTTATTGGATTAATCAAGATTATGAAAGCAGGAAGAAATAAGAGCTTTGTAACCTGAAACCAAGTACACGGGAAGTCATTTCAAATTGATTAATTTGGTTTTTGAATAATTGGCTCTCTCTCTTTTTTAATTGGATTTTAATTTGGTAATGTGACAATGTGGCTTTTATTGGAATTAATATTACATATTAATAAAAAATTATTATACCAAAAGTGCAGTGCAGATGGGACCTAACCCACGTCCATTATTTTGAATAGGTCTGCTCTGAATGCAGCCATAGAATTGCAAATTTTCTATGACAGGAATAAACCATGCACTGAAAGTCATGAAGGGGGCAAGGAATGCCATTAAAAATTTTTTTAAAAAATTGAACAGGTGAAAGGTACCCATGAAGATATTGCTTAACAAATGTTCTCCCCCCACCCCCCAGACAAAGGTTTTCATTTTTTCCCAAAGGATTCCTTCTCCAAACTGTACAGGAAGTGCTGGGAAAGACTTTAGCCTGAAACCCAAGACGACCGCTGCCAGTCAGTGTAGAGTGTATGGATCTAGGTGAGCCAATGGTCTGACTCTGCGTAAGGCAGCTTCCTATGTTCCTAAGATACATTGTGCGAAACTCGTGTCAGGCTCCGCTTGGAAGCTATTGGTGCTTTTCCTTTGGGAGCAGACCGAAAGAGTTTGTGAGTGAGAGATAACAGAATCGTAGAATTCTAGAGTTGGAAGGAATCCCAATGGTTCTCTAGTCCAACCCTCTGCAATGCAGATAGCGCCACAGTCCAAATAAAGGAAGGCAAGACAAAGGATGGAGGGCAGGAAGGAAACATGGGTTCCTCATGGTTTATTCTGGGATCTCAACAAAATCAGGAGGGGGGAGGGTCTGATTTCCCCACAACGAGTCAGTCGTCATCACACATGGTCTCAATGATCCAGTCTCTGTATCTGGAAATGTCCATGTAGACCCCGGGTTTGGTGCTGGAGCTGCAGGGCACGTCACCCCAAGACACCAGACCATGGAGCTTCCCGTTGCAGACAAGGGGTCCCCCGGAGTCACCCTGTATTGACAACCAAGAGAGACATCTCTTTAACCCAGGAAGGGTTGTTCTGATTATTACTAAATCTAGATCCCCTCCTTCCTAGGGCTGCCATACGTCCAGAACGTTACCAGAATTGCAAAGGCGGAATTGACATCTGGGGGGGGATTTCTGAAAGGCGGCAATATATCCTGGATCTTAGACAAGTCAATTGAAAAATCATGGGTTTTGGGAGGTGTCTTGGTTGCTACTTTTTGAAATATGGCAGTCCTACTCTTTCCTCCCAAAGGAGCCCAGGGTATTAAACACACAAGTGATAAAACATCTAAAAGCAATGCCAGTGCTGTACTAGTCATATACAAATATGTTTCCCTATCCCAGCATTCTTGGGTTCCCAGGTGTTACTGGACTACAAATCCCATCATCCCCAGCCATCTTAATCAATAATGATGGATGATTGGAGTTGTAGTCCAACGACATCTGGGGACCCAAGGCTGAAGAATGTCACCCTTTCCTATGCATCTTCACATGGAAGCAGGGGTGACAACTTGAATATAACAAGGGGAGCAGGAAACTCCTGCCCCACATAATTGAGCACAAGATGCAGCACGCACACCCAATTTGAATGGCAACTCGGGGAGGTGGCCCCCTCCAATATTTTATTGGGAGGGGTGAAGGGACCTTGGCCCCGAGGAATTGGCTCGTTTGCATGGAAGGAAGTCTCACTAAGTTCAAGGAGATGCAATTCCCAGGTAAGTGCATAGGAACATAGTCCATAGGTCAGGGAAAGTGAGCCTCAGGCCTGGCATCCAAACACAGTCCTCCAGACCTCTCCAGCTGACCTTTCCAGTGTTCAAAAGAACCTGTGGGTGTTTATTATTTGCCATTAGGAAAATGCCAGTCATCAAGACAGACGAGGGCAGGGCAGCGGGTGGGCGGAAACAGCACCCATTTATGAAATTGCTGGCTGTCAGACGTTACGAGCGGCATTAAACCATTTTGCAAGATAAGCTCAGCACACCAAAATCCACTGGATATATTGGGTCACACTGGCGTGAAGCAGTGCTTTTGAATGTGTGTGATGGTACTCAGTGGCACAAAATACTGCCACTTCTTTCTCTCTCTCTTATTAATATTATTGTTGTTGTTGTTGTTGTTGTTGTTATTTTGCTACCTGTGGCAGCCATTTTGAGTACTAGCTTCTCAGCTTTTTGTTGGGTTTTTTTTCTTTAACCAAAAAAATCCACTGACTTTAGACATTTAAAATACCCAATACTGTAGATGAATCAACCCTTACCTATGCACATAATTAGATTGCATCATTTTTCATAATTCACTGTGGCCACAGATCTTGGGTTTCCACAATATATAGCATGGCTGAAGAACCCAAGGCTCTAAATGTTGTGGGATTCCCAACTACAGCCTTAGCTAGCATAGCCCATGGCCAGGAGGATGGAGCTGGAGTCCAGCAACAAGTTCGGTAGCCTCTCTTCTGGGGCAGAGTTTGAACTTTTTGGCACACATTACACAGAACACAGTGACACTGAATAGTGAATATTGAACTACACTGATGTACTTTAAATCTAGGTAGAGCTGAAAGGGCAAAAACACAACAATAGCAAAATCTCATCCAAAACCCAGCAAAATCAGATTAGTTGGATGTTAAGACTTGGTTGGACAGTGTTCTCGAAGCCACAAACATGAGTCTGACCAAACTGCGGGAGGCAGTGGAAGATAGGAGTGCCTGGCGTGCTCTGGTCCATGGGGTCACGAAGAGTCGGACACGACTAAACGACTAAACAACAACAACAACAAGACTTTTTAGTTTATCAGCCAACTTAAGTTCCAAAATGGATTGAACTGACCATGGATTGAACTGAATGTTGTTGGGACCATTGCTCTTTCCTGTTAGGGGCACCCAACTAGCCAGAGGCCCTGGGCTCCTTTGGTTGGAAGGGCAGGATAGAAATTTGATAAACAAAACAAACAAATGCAAATACATGTTAACATATGCATTGGCCAAGTCCCCAGCCAATGTGCAATTGGCGTCACACTGTAGGGGGCTATGTGCATACAGGTTTGAGCACATAGGGCTCTTTCCATGGGAACAGGTGTTCACATTCCTATAGAGGGGACCCTTAAATATATACATCCAGCCATGCACAGGCCCCCTACAGAGTGATCGCAACTGCACGTTGGCCGTGGGGCTTGGCCGATGCATATATTTGCATCTATTTGTTTATCAAATTTCTATCCTGCCCTTCCAACCTAAGGAGCCCAGGGCCTCTGGCTAGTTGGGTGCCTACTGGAGAGCCTCATCGCATGTTCAGTATCCATGGGCATCGAATGTCCGAACAGGGCTTATATCTCAGCCTAATCCACTTTACAGGGATGTGTTATCTGGTTCTGCAAGGCACTTGTGATGTTCCAACAAAAGGTCCTTACTTCACAGGAGTCAGTGCCTCCTCCCATCGCAGCAGCACACGTCATATCGGAGTTCAGCTTCCCAGGATACAGGGCAGCGCACTCCTCCAAAGACATTATCCTGACATTTGCACAGTAAAGGATCAGAGGAATTCGCTCTAAAGAAAGAAGAAGAATTGTAGAGTTGGAAGGGGCCATAAGTGTCATCTAACCCCCCCCGCAAAGCAGGAATCTTTTACCCAAAACGTGGGGCTCAAAACCATGACCCTGGGCTTAAGAGTCTCATGCTCTGCTGACTGAGCTGTCCCTGGAGGCAAGAACAAGAAGTTGTTTGGGATCTTGAGAAAGATTGGTTTTACTCATAAAGGTAAAGGTAAAGGGACCCCTGACTGCTAAGTCCAGTCGCGGACGACTCTGGGGTTGCGGCGCTCATCTCGCTTTACTGGCCGAGGGAGCTGGCATACAGTTTCCGGGTCGTGGCCAGCATGACTAAGTCACTTCTGTCGAACCAGAGCAGCGCACGGAAATGCCGTTTACCTTCCCGCTGGCGTGGTACCTATTTATCTACTTGCCCTTTGACGTGCTTTCGAATTGCTAGGTTGGCAGGAGAAGGGACCGAGCAACGGGAGCTCACCCCGTCGCAGGGGTTCAAACTGCCAACCTTCTGATCAGCAAGTCCTAGGCTCTGTGGTTTAGACCACAGCGCCACCGGCGTCCCTATGGTTTTACTTATAGTTCATTACATTTACATGCTTCAAGAAGATAGGATGCCAAAAGAAGCGTTCTGTTTCTCCGCTCTTTTTTAAACGTCTTTACCTTTTTTACCTTTATCTAAGGTTGCAAACAAGTTTCCCTAAATCATACATGTTTTTTACATTCTCACAAATGTAGGCATTTTTATGAACACTTTCTTCTAATATACACATTGGTGAGGGCTTGGTCATCAAAAATTTTGGTGAAGTGCAAACTTTGAAGGCTAGCCAATTAGGTAAGTTTGCTTTAAAATGTGAACCAAACTTAATTTCTCTTCTGTCCCGAGCGGGGAGGTGTTCTCATTTTTACTGTTCTCCCATTTACAAATCTCTGTGTAAGTTAAACAAAACAAAACAAATGCATCAAGTAGAAAGGGAGACCTAAGCAAACAACTAATCTCACTGAATTTGTGGGATTTTTTAGGGGGGGTTGAGTTTTTAATGCAGGGAAGGAAGACATTAAGAATTTAATTTCCCACCTGCAACCTGATCCCCTATAGTAGGACTTCACTGTGCTAAAAGCTGTAAAATTGGTTCCCTGGTAGTTTCAACATACAGTCGTACCTTGGCTCCCAAACACAGCAAACCCAGAAATGAGTGTTCCGGTTTGCGAACGTTCTTTGGAACCCAAAAGTCCAACAGGGCTTCCGCAGCTTCCGATTGGCTACAGGAGCTTCCTGCAGCCAATCAGAAGCTGTACTTTGGTTTCTGAATGTTTTGGAAGTTGAACAGACTTCCGGAAGGGATTCCGTCCAACTTCCGAGGTATGACTGTATATATATGGAGAGCTACGCCATAAATCAAGATAGCACCGCCCTTACTGGGAGAGCATTGTCCTTTCTACAGCTCCTTCAGATGCCTTCACTATTTTGGATGTTCGTTTCAGAAGCTTTAGTTCTTTTATCTGTGGGCATGGTATGGTTGAGGTTGATACTGTCAGGCCTTTCCTGGGACAGAATCATTTACATACCTGGGAAATTGATAGGACCGCCCCATCCTGACACCATGCACATATCCCCAGAGCTTGCCCTCTGGGTAGCCAGACTTATGGGCTGCACATAATGGTTAAGTACAGCTGGGCTCAACAGTTTGACCAGCATGACGTCATTGTCATAGCACGACTGGTTGTATTTGGGGTGGACGATTGTTTTTGCCACTGCCAAGAACTGTTCTGTGCCCTCCAGGACGTTCAGATTGTCATCTCCAAGCCGGACATGGATGCTTCTGTAAAGGAAAGAACAGATAAATAATGAGTAGGTAAGGCCACTTTTTAAGACAGCATCTTAAAAAGTAGAGACATCAGCTTGCCAACAAAGGTCCGTATAGTAAAAGCTATGGTTTTCCCAGTAGTGATGTATGGAAGTGAGAGCTGGACCATAAAGAAGGCTGATCGCCGAAGAATTGATGCTTTTGAATTATGGTGCTGGAGGAGACTCTTGAGAGTCCCATGGACTGCAAGAAGAACAAACCTATCCATTCTTTAAGAAATCAGCCCTGAGTATTCACTGGAAGGACAGATCGTGAAGCTGAGGCTCCAATACTCTGGCCACCTCATGAGAAGAGAAGACTCCCTGGAAAAGACCCTGATGTTGGGAAAGATGGAGGGCACAAGGAGAAGGGGACGACAGAGGACAAGATGGTTGGATAGTGTTCTCGAAGCTACCAGCATGAGTTTGACCTAACGGCGGGAGGCAGTGGAAGACAGAAGTGCCTGGTGTGCTCTGGTCCATGGGGTCACAAAGAGTCGGACACGACTAAACAACTAAGCAACAACAAGGCCACTTGCACACCAACAATAACCAAGCCTTATGAGGAGCAGTTGAAGGAGCTAGGTATGTTTAGGCTGGAAAAGAGGAGGCTGAGAGGAGAGAGGATAACCATCTTCAAATATTTCAAGGGCTCTCGCGTGAAAAAGGGAACAAGCTTGTTTTCTTCTTCTCTGGAGGGTAGGACCCAAACTAATGGATTCAAGTTACAAGACTAAACATCAGTAAAAAACTTTCCGAGAGTAAGAGCTGTTTGACAATGGAACAGTCTCCCTCAGGAGGCTGTGGACTCTCCTTCATTAAGCAGAGGTTGGAATGCCCAATTCAAAGTCCTGGTTTTGTCCTAGAAAGCCTTAAACAGCTCAGTGTCACAATACCTCAAGGACCCCTCTCCCCATATGCCCCTGGACCCTGCAATAATGATCAGAGGCCCTTCTTCATGTGCCTCCTCCATGAGAGGTCCAGAGGTCAGCAACACGAGAACAGGCCTTTTCTGCAGTGGCTCCTCAATTGTGAAATACTCTCCTGGGAGGCTCGCCTGGTGCCCTTGTTACATATCTTTAGGCACTAGGCAAAACACATTCCTCTTCTCCTTTGGCTAATTAAACAAACTATGGTCTTTTAGACTGTGCGTGGTTTATTGTTATTGTTTGTTGCTATGGTATGTGTTTTGGTGTTTTTCTGTTGTAAACTGCCCTATGATCCTCAGTTGAAGGGCGGTCTAGAATTTTAACAAATAAATACTAGTTCACCACATATTCCATGATACCTGCATTTCCCATGCTGAGCCAACACACAGAGAGAGGGAGACATGATCACACAGACACACCTACCCATGGTTGCAGTGAGCAGCGGTAAGGACCCATCTTTGGTTGAGAAGGGTTGCTCCACAGTAGAAACGGGAGTATTTGTAGATGGCAGCCTGCCAAGGCTGAGAATGTGGTGGACATGGGTAGCCTTTGGGTTTCTTTCTGCCCTGTGCCAGGACTAGAAAAGGAAAAGGAAAGGTCCATTAGCATAATGATGTGTAGATAAATCCCTGCAGATTTCTCCAGAGTTCTTAGAACAGTGTTGGATTACCCAATAGACACAGGCACACACCAAAAAATATTTTTAAAAAAGTATTTGACACAGATAATATATATACATATAATATATACCTATACATATATATATATATATAAAAATTTTAAGCATCCAAGTAGCCATCATGGGATAGCTCAGTTGGTAGAGCATGAGGCTCTGAATCTCAAGGTCATAGGTTCAAGTCCCATGTTGGGCAAAAGATTCCTGCATTGCAGGGGGCTGGACTAGATGACCCTCATGGTCCCTTCCAACTCTATGATTCTAGTCATCATGGCTGGGGGAAACAGAACTTTGTTAGACTTTCTTACATTCCACTACACACTCCTTCCCACTTTTTCATTCTCAATTCAAAAAAAGGACATTTTATCCTGTGGTTTAGTAGTGTTCTCGTTTTGAATTACATGAGGGGACACCCTAATATTTTCAGTGCTTAGGACCTGCAATGCCCACCATGCTTAACAAACTACAGTTCCCAATATTAACGTTAAAGTGATATTAGAGTGCTTGAAGTGTGTGCTGTGGGTGTCACCATAGTTCTGAATGTAACCGGTTTGGAAAAGCTATCTTTAAAAAACATTGGGGGGGGGGTCCTATTAAAATCTGATGCAGGGTGGCAGAGGATGGGGAGAAGGAACCAAACTAATCTGTGCATCTTGTGCAGCAGAAGTCCCTCTATGGCGGACTAACTGGGGGGAGGAATTTTAATCTGCAATTAAAGATTAAGCGATCGTCACGCGAATAAATCAATTAAACCTTTGCGGTCCTATCTAAACATCTAAAAACACGCCCAGTTGTGTGTTTCTTCGTGTAGACTCCACTGCATCATGTTATTTATCTTGTTCAGAATCAAAACACTTTCAGTTTTTATGGCTTACTTGTGCTGTTGGCGTCTGTGCTTGGGTTTTTTGTTTTGTTTTTGAAAGCATAATGAATTTTATAAAGGCAAAGCACATTTAACAGGACAGCTAGCAGCATGGCTAGAACGCACACGTTGGGTGTGTTCCTCAACCCAGCCTCCCCCCAGCATCTCATTACATGGAAAAAGGGAGTCGCTCTCGGGTGTTGGTCTATGAAAGAAGGGGTGGGAAAACGAGGCAGCATTTTTATGCCAATAAAGATGTGCGGTGGCATGTGACGCTGAAAAGCATGCGCACCATCCAGGTCGCTGCAGAGGTCAGGATGCAGAGACCTCGGCGTATGCAAGTGGACTTCGGGATATGGGTTGGAGGAGCTGCCACCAGCACCTGGACATAGAACCTGGAGGACCAAGACAAACAGGGCTCCTTCCACCACTTGGCCATAGAATGGCAAGGGAAGGGCGGCAGCCAGCAGGCTGGGATGGAATGAACCCAAGCACATCCTCCTTCGGTCAGTTCTCATTGAACTGTTCCAAGCACACTTCTCTTCAGAGAAGGTCCATAGCTCAGTAGTAGAGCATAAAAATAAAAATAATTTATTATTTATACCCTGCCCATCTGACTGAGCTTGCCCAGCCACTCTGGGCGGCTCCCAACAGAATATTAAAAACATGATAAAACATCAAACATTACAAACTTCCCTAAACAGGGCTGCCTCCAGATGTCTTCTAAAAGTCAGATAGTTGCTTATTTCCTTGACATCTGATGAGAGGGTGTTGCACAGGGCAGGTGCCACTACCGAGAAGGCCCTCTGCCTGGTTCCCTGTAACCTCACTTCTCACAGTGAGGGAACCGCCAGAAGGACCTCGGAGCTGGACCTCGGTGTCTGGACAGAACGATGGGGGTGGAGACGCTCCTTCAGAGCATCTGCCTTGCATGCAGAAGGTCCCAGGTTTAATCCCTGGAATCTCCACTTAGATCTTGGACAGGCACCCCTTGAAATGAATGGACCTGCTAGTCTGAAATCTTGGAGAGCTACTGTTTCTTAGTGTAGTCCTGTGTTCTTCAACCTTGGTTCCCCAGATGTTGTTGGACTACAGCTCAAATCATCTCCAGCCAGTTTAGCCATTAGTCAGGGATAATGGGAGCTGTAATCCAATAACATCTGGGATACACAAGGCTGAAAAACACTTTGGCCAAGCAGCTTTCAATGCACAGTGCAGGCATACAGGCCAGCCTGAGCTCAGTATGTATGTATGTATGTATGTATGTATGTATGTATGTATGTATTTATACATACATACATACATACATACCCTGCCTATCTGGCTGGGTTTCCCCAGCATCCCAGGGTGTAGGGTTTTTTAAAAATGCTTATATCACGCCATTGCAAAAGTACCCCAGTATATTTTTTGCCCAAGATGAAGAACAAGATTTAAGCTTTAAGATGCGTTATGGTACCGTTCATCTTTTCGTTGGATAACGAAAAAAATGTTTGTTTTTTTCTTGTTAACTGATCATTGTGGAAGAACACTTTTAGTGTTGTTTTTTAACAGATTTATTTGCAAGAGGTCACATTTACATATTTGAACCTTTCGCAAGTTGCTTCTCTTTTGTTGAAAAAAGTGGCAAATCAGTTAAAATAAATACAGTCAAACCTTGGCTCCCAAACAGCTCCCGAGCAGGGGAAGGGCTGTACATCAGCCACAGAGCCTCTGCTTTGCACGTCGACTGATTGATTGATTCATAGAATCATGGAATTGTAGAGCTGGAAGGGACCCAGCTAATCCATCTCCCTGCAATGCAAGATTGACTGAAGCTTCTCTCTGCCTGCCTGAGACCCTTGAGGATTTCTCCCACACAGAGTGGACAGCACTGGGCTAAATGGGCAGGCTTTCTTCCCTTAACAAACTCTTACCTACTGAAAAAATCAGGAGCAGAATAATGGAATGCAACATCAAGGTTGTCATGGTGATGAGCTGTGTATGGCGGAGGCAGCTCCCTTTAAGGAGAAAGAAAGGGGGAGAGAGAGAAAGATAAAAGTTAATAAAATAAATCATCAACTGGAGTTTAACTTTGAAATCATAACCCAGTGTGGTAGTGATGTATGTTCAACATCGGTTCGAACTCAGACTCTGCTATGTTTGCGCAGAAAGGGACTAACTATGACAATACGCTGCTGCAGGAAAATGCTTCTTTGAAATACATATTTATGCAATATCCAACATTTAGCTTACAAATTTTTGGAGGAAAGTATTAAGATGGATAAATACTACTTTGGGGGAGGATTTAAAATTGTCAGATGATATAATATTATCCTAAACCACATACCAACTACAGTACAGTCATACTTCGGGTTGAAGTCACTTCAGGTTAAGCCTTTTCGGGTTGCACTCTGCGGCGACCTGGAAGTAACGGAGCGCGTTACTTTCGGATTTCGCCTCTCGCGCATGCGCTGACGCTCAAAATGACGTCACACGCATGCGGGGAAGCGGCGAATCGCACACGTGCGGGTTGTGTTTGCCTCAGGAAGCGGACGGGGCTCCGGAATGGATCCCGTTCGCATCCAGAGGTACCACTGTATATGTGGTTTGACGGACCTTTCTGCCACTGCCAGATAAACTAGCGCCTTGCATTTTTTGTGATGGTACTTACCAAACAGCCATCACCTCTTTCTTTTGCTGCCTAATGCAACCATTTTCTGGTCGCACCCACAGCACTTCAGTTAGGATATATGTATACCAGCACTTCATTTTTTGCCAAAAAAACAAACAAACAACCCACCCAACAACACAAAATACTGAGCTAGCGGCCAGAGATACATAAGTTGGTTGGGTGGCCAAAGCTGGCATCCACCTCAGTTGGCAATGCCGGGGATCTTAGATCCCAGCAAGTGAAAAAGACCACATACTTATCAATCCCCTGACATCCTAATAACATCGAGTGATTGATACCCGACAGAATTTAAAGGAGACTGCCGCAACTGCTGGTCGCCTGATTGGTGGTTATAATCACCCCCTTTAAAGGTGCACTTTCAGCATCAGTCAGAGAGCATATTGAAGGAAGCTTGGCTGTGACTTCTGATCAGCCCCTCAGGTGCCATTAACGGAATGGCCGCTAGAGGGGCTCCCTGAGCCTTAACTTGTACAGTTTTAAATTCTACCCGTCAAATTGTTATGAATGCAATCTGTACATAAATTGCTGTGGCTGGTGACGAATGCAGATCTCTGCCTCTGGTGATAGCTCTGAGATACAAGTTGTAGAAAAGGCCTCTTTTCTCCTTCTCTCCCTATTCCAGCTTCCCCCTTACCACTACCAGTCTGGTCAAGCAATGCATCCTAGAATGGTGACCAGTATATTACCCAGAAACTCTTCGTAAAGCAGAGGTCACTCCTTTTTCTTAGTTCTCCAAAGGCTGACAGACGTGGTAAAATTGGAGAGCTGAGAATGTGGGTTGAGCAGGCGGTGACAGAAGGGTCAGATGCAGTGGAGGCTGGTCCATCAGGAAAAATGGGGCACTGCCGCAACAACCTCTGTCATCCCTCAGCCAGCCCTCACCTGACTTTCTCCTTACATGCAACCAGTCCAGGGGATGGCACCAGGGCCGGCCCACCCATTAGGCAACTGCCTTGGGCAGCAGGATCCATAGGGAAAGCAGATCTCAATGTGGATCTTTATTTCACCACTTGTTCCCGATGTAGATCTTCACTCACCCCTTCTTCCCTGACAGGAGAGGGACGCCATTTTGTGGTTTGCCTCAGGTGCCTAAACGTCTTGGGCTGGCCCTGGGTGGCATTGGTTGTCAGGGAGGGGGTGAAAAACTAGAATTAGCTGACTCAGCCTGCCATTGGCTTTGGATCGATGGTGCCTTCCTGTCCAGTCTACATGGACACAACTGATAAGACAAGCATTTAAATACAGGTCCTGCTCTGCGGACTTGCTGCAAGCACAGGACACCTTTGGGTAGCTGCAATCTGGAGAGGGTGCTTATATGCCTCTATATCTGGGGCCTAAAGTACTTCCTATGGCAGCCACATCCCCAGAAGGGCCATTTTGTGTTATGCCATGTTCCCACGGCAGCCATTTTGTGACTGGCACCCCAGGGCACTCCTTCCGAATTCCAAACATGCCCACTGACCCCTGGTTGGTAACCCCTGGTGTGTGTGTGTGTGTGTGTGTGTGTGTACACACACACATATATACATACAGTGATGTATTTACCCCATACATACACTTGGCCCTTGGTCCTCCACTAACATACATCCCATCAAAATGACAGATCCTTTGCTATCCAGAATAACCTAATACATTGAATTGGGATCAGAAGCCAAAGGTGACATTCATCACTGCCCAGCATCCCATTCCATTTGGTGGGGCAAGCAAAACTTTCATTTTGCCCCATAATAGGTCGAAAGTGAAATGGGCAGAAGCTGCTGTATGCCCATCTCCTCCAATATTCCCTAATCTAGCTATCAGTGGCTTTCCGGGCTCACCTGGCAGAGGTGTTTCCCATCACCTGATGCCGAATGCCAAAAACTGAACCTGGAGCTTTCTGCGTAAAAAGCATGGGTGATACCATAGAGAGACATTCTCTTTCCTGTCCTATTGTAGTCAAGAGTTGGTCCTCTAGTCAACCCTAAACAAACATTGCCCAAATCACAGTACAGTGGTACCTCAGGTTACATACGCTTCAGGTTACAGACTCCGCTAACCCAGAAATAGTACCTCAGGTTAAGAACTTTGCTTCAGGATGAGAACAGAAATCGAGATGCAGCAGTGCGGCAGCAGCAGGAGGCCCCATTAGCTAAAGTGGTGTCTCAGGTTAAGAACAGTTTCAGGTTAAGAACGGACCTGCGGAACGAATTAAGTTCTTAACCCGAGGTACCACTGTACTGTTCTGGGCAGCCCTGGGTGGCCTAAGACTCTGCTGGATAGAGCCAAAGGCCTACATCCTATATACCACAATGGTTATTTATGAGAAGCCCACAAGCAACTAACGCTCTCTCACTATTGTTCCTCAGGGGCTGGTATTCAAAGGCATGGTTAGTAGCCACTAGCTACCTTAGATCCTGTAAATGTGCCCAATCCCCTTTTAAAGCCATCTACGTTGATAGCCATCACTGCAACAAATTTCCTAGTTTTAACATTGCTCTTGGTGAAAAAGCACTCCCATTTGTCTGTTCTGGCCATAAGGGATGGACCATGTGGCTCAGGGGTAGCATCTGCTTTTCAATCAGGAAGTCCCAGCTAGTTTCAGTCCCCAGCATCTCTCGGTAGGGCCAGGTGACACCCCTGTCCAAAACCCTGCAGAGCTGCTGCCAGTCTGTGTAGGCAATACTGAGCTAGATTAACCAATGGTATAGGGCAGTTTTCTAAGTTCCTAAGTCCATTCAGCATGACTGGATGAGCTCAGGTTCTATTATTATGAGAGGGAGAAAAACGCATCCATTTTTTCTGATCTATCTGATCCATCCCTCTGCACCATGAATAACTTCATGAACTTTTATCATTCCCCCTATCTTGTCTCTCATGACACCCTCGATTTCCCTATCTGGAAAGGATGCAAAGTGGACAGCAAGCCAGCTTTCACAAAGCCAGGCTAGGTAACACAATAGCATTATCACCAAATACCAAGACGAGCAACAATGAACACTTGATGCAAGATGTACACGTGCACAGCAGCAGCACCAGTAGCAAAAGTCTCCTACCTGATCCCAAGAAATAATCCTCTTTTCCTTTGCTGAGGTGGGGAGAGGTGGGTTTCTTGCGGGATCTAGTCTGCTCCGAATGATGCAGAAGTCAAGGCACTGGTGCTCAACAAGCAACTCATTTTTAACCTACTTGGCTGACCTGGCTAACATTGATTTACGGGGCACCTGTTCTTTATTTTGCCCTCTCTTAATGAAGGGGTAGCTGAACTAACCCTCTTTAATTAGGCTTGCCATCGTTTGTAAGGACGCTGTGCTTTCCCCCCTTTCTCACCACGTCTTCAGTGAGGTTCTGCTTTTGTTCTCCTTGTCCCCGTTTTGCAATCTGATGCCCTTTAATTTCTCAAGACGGGACGAGTCGCTCCATCTTTAATGAGGACGGCAACGGATTGATAATGTGAGCCAGCAATTAACTTCACATCATAGGACCAAGTAACTTGAAGGATCACCATTCTCCTTATGATCCCAGGCCTACACTGAAAGAGGGCCTTCTCAGTGGTGACACCCCAGTTGCGGAGCACTCTCCCCAGAGAGATTTGTTGATTGTGTGGCAAGTCCCCTCCCCCCCATGTGAAATGAAAACACCGGACACATTATTTAAGGTTAATGGGCGTAAAAGGCCACAACTTTATTGATTACAGGAATTAGAAGGTATTGGCCTTAGGCATTGGCTCCTATCAACTACCCGGCATGGAGACCGGGAAGGGTTAACCACAAGCCGTGGGAGTCCTGTTGAAGTACGCCAACTAGGATCCCACGGGTGTCACCGCTCGGGGGCGTGCCGGAGGCCCTCACCTCCCTAGGTTTCGGACAAGGCAGCGCCCCCGGAGTCCTTTACCAGACTACCCTTTTCCATTGGGGGAAGGTGATGGCATTTCCCCCCCCCCCCGGGCAGTTGGAACGGGGCAAAGAGGGCGGTCCCCGGGCGTGCCTGGCCTTAAATGGGCTAGGCCACGCCTCCCCAGCCCGCCGATTGGTGGGCAGGGTCGTAGGCACGCCCGGGGATTCCCTCGTTCTCGCGGGGGCAAAAGGCCAGCCCCCGCAGGTGTGGGAGGGGGTGGGCCCGCAACCCCACCTCCTCCCAAGCTCGGAAGTGGCTATATCTAATTCAATGGTTCTCAAAGGGTGTGGCAGGAGAGGGTGGCAAGTGTGGTGGGAAGATTCAAGGACAATCATTATTCTATTTTGGGAATGATTCATGCTCTTATGTGGCTACATTGTTCTATCCTTTCTGGTTGTCCCATGATCATATTATCATGTTCTATATATAAATATATATGGTGTGGCACAACCAAAGTTTTATTCTGAAAGTATGGCTGAGAAAAAAAAGTTTGAGAACCACTGGCCTTATTTATGACAAAGGCTTTTTTTCAATTTCCAAAGCTTTTTTAGATCCAGTTTTAATCCTGTTGATAGTTCTGTGCTTTTTACAATTTTGCAACCTTTACTTTACTTTTCCTTCTTATAATTCTTCTAAACCACCCTTGGAATGTGATTGAAGGATGGTATGAAAACATTTTTTTTAAAAAAAGACTTATTAAAACACACACACACCATCCACTGTTGCAAGACTATCTACAAGACAAGCCATTAAGATTTAGGTTGGGAAATAAGGTGTAACATTCAGGGCTCAATTCTCACTTGAGCAATGTGCGGGGTAGCCAAGAGCCCTCGTCTCAAGACAATGGGACATCTTTAAGAATACCTTGCCATTTCTAACTGTATTTCCTCAGTAGTTACGGTTAACTGCATCACAAAAAGGGGTTTTCTTCCAAGTGGATTGAGGAATGAGTGTGCATCAATGGCTCATGTACCATCTTCCTAAACTACCATAAGGAGTTTGTTTTTCAACGCACCTATTCTTTTGCTCTAAAATGTGCCAAACTGAGCCAGCCAACCAAGAGCTTGATCGTGTAGCATCTTTTATTATTATGAATAGACAAAAAGATGCATAGAATGACAGCTCACTTCTAGTACTGTGTTTAAAAAAAACTAATAGATCTAATAAGTGGCATCACATTCCTCGACATGTTTCTGAATTTGGAAAACACAGCACTGCTGCCACCGTTCTGACTGTACTTATTTGCACACTTGGGCGTAAGGTCCATCATTTAACAGAAGTCAGAATTTAGCAAATAGCTGTTTGCACCATGCAGAGGGTGCCCTCTGGTGGTGTTTGCTTTTATAGCCTGTAAAGCTATTGCTATGTGATTTTCTACGGCAGCTGTTCCCTGTCAGTGTCCGAAGGTAACTGCTGTTACAAATAGTCACTGTGCAACCATCTATATTCATTTGCACTAATGCAAAAAAGTTGCACATGTTGTACGTCTTGCTCTGTTGGCTTTTTAGTCACACGTAGTAGCAAAGACTATAAAATGGGGAGAGGGGGCGAGCTTTCAGTTCAAAAATAATTTGTAGTAATTTAAAAGATTGGACACCAGTGGCCAGTTACACGGTTGCAGTTTTATATATATACCGTATTTTTCTGTGTATAAGGCTATGTTTTTTTCTTTAAAAATCATGCTTAAAAGTGGGGGTCGTCTTATACATGGATAATACACAGGGTGGATGTTTGATTGGTTCCTGCCATGGCTGTCAGCGACTATTGTGCGTGTTATTGGTTGCTGCGTCAATGGGTGTTGTTGAGTGGCTGACGCTCCAGGAGTTGGGTGGGCAATTGGGACAGATGGGAGGCGGATTTTGCGATGCGTGTGAGCGATTTTTGGCAATTCCCCCCAAAAAACAACTCTGGGCAATCCTCCCCAAAATAAGCTCAACAACTCTATACCATCTCCACCCATTTTATTAAATTTGAGTCCCCCAAAATAGGGGCGTCTTATACAAGGGAGTGTCTTATAGACGGAAAAAGTACGGTATATCTATAAAAACACTATTGGATATAGATGTAAAAGGATATTGCTTCCTCCTGCTGAAAAGCAGGCTCTAACAAAAAAAAGCTCCTTCCGCAATAAACCCCTTAATGTGCCACAGTAAACTTTTGGTTGCTCGTTACAAAAGATTTCGACCCCTCTCGAATTTGTCTTATTTAGATGGCAGCTATTCAATTGCCCACTGTACTTGGGAAACTAAGTTGCCAGTTTCGGGCATGCATGAAATGTTTGCCCTAACTTATGGAGCAAGTTGGAACTACTAGGAATCAATGTCTCTCCAAAATTCTGGTTTAATACGTTATCTTTGCTATTTACTCTCCATTTCAGAATAGTTAGCTATGTAAATTATTTTACAACTCCTCAAACTGGCAGTGGCCACGTTCAGACAATTCTATCTGAACCTTTTGCTCAGATATGTGGTTCTCTTCGCCTCACCTTTGCTGCAATTCTCTAGTTAACCATAATTTCTCTATTGAGATGAAACTATGGTTAACTGCTTTGGAACATGCCAAGAAATTAAATCTGCTTCAAATTGTGGCTTAACAAGTACGGCTTGTTCCAAAACTGGTAACAGTTTCCTTGGCTCGCTTGGACAAAATGAGAAACTATGATTGGAGATCATAGGTTAATCATTGCTCTGGGGAAACACAGATAAATTCAGGTGGAGTCTACACATATATAAAAAACGCTGTGAAATTTTTTTACCATTTAAATATATATATATTGAATTTGCTATTAGATCACTAGCACCATCTAGCGTCACATTTGTATAATGCACTTAAAACACACTTAAAATGTTATTTTATAGCTGAGTCCCATTTCATATATTGGCTTATTTAGTCAGAATCTGACTGTCTGAAATGGTTCACTACATGCATGAAAGAAAATCTATGTTGCATATTCACACAGCGTGCACAGAAAATCCAGAAACTAGGGTAGTGCAAAAGGAGGATTTATTTACAGACCTATATATCATCCTGGTAAATCACGGCATTAAAATAAACCCCAAGTTGTGGTTTCACTTTTTACATGCTCAACTCACCATAGGATTATTGTACTTTCCCAATTTTATATAGTATTATTTCAATCACATTCTCAATGTGGTTGACAGCTGAAATGATGCACATCAGACAGCCTATTAGTTCTTATGGTTAACATAGCAAAAACCAGGAATGGAGAATCCATGACCTTCCAGAAGTTGTTGGACGCTAAGTCCCATCAGCCCCAGTGAGTATGGACGACGATCAGCGATGATGAGAACTGGGAGTCCAACAACATACAGAAGGCAGCAAATTCCCCATCAACACTGGGAGGGCAGGAAGGAGGAGGGACTACCTGAGAAAGCTAGAACTTATAACATTCACTGATGCAAAGTCCAATGAATGCAAGATTCGGAACTAATTGCTGTCAATGGGCAGGTGGGTGAGCTTAAGTAGCAAAGAAGTTGAATCAATTTGAGCTTGCTCCATTATATATATGTCCTTTTCCGAACCTCCATCAAAATGCAAAATATTTTCTCCTTGTCTGGTAAGCCTCTGCAAAAAGGGATACAACAGGTCCTCCGTTGGATCACAGATGCCTACAAGTTCTTTCTACCAAATCAATATTTGTTCCCCGATAAAAATATTTGCTCTAATATAAAAAGGGCTTATTGCAATTAAAGTGTAAAAACTGTGTAGGATTGTAAAATCCCATCCCCCACAAAAAAAGACCCGCACCAAAAGTTGAACAGGTATAGCAATCGAAGATCCTGCCTATAGTGTCAACAAAGGGGTTGTCTCATTCCACCTCATCTTCATCTTTGGAAGCATAGATAGCCTGGTTCCTCCTTTTAATTTTCTTTGGCCCACCCTTTCCTTCTTCACTTGTGTCACTTAGTCGCTTCAAGGCCGTTTCACTGGGGATCACCTCTTCTGGCTGGTTTCTCTCACTCGATTTCTCCAGTTCATCACTTTCCACAGTATCATTCGGTGACACAGCCATGGAACCTGGCGTGACCCGGATGTCGGAAAAAGTTGTTGAGACGTCAGAAGGGTGGTTGGCAGACGAGTCCACTGGGCAGCTGCCTGGCTCTTCTTCATCATCGCTGTCTTCATCCAGTATTATTTCATCAGGGTTGATAGAAGAGGACAAGCCAGAAACGTCTGTATTATAGTCACTGGGCTCCTCTGCTGATCCAGTACTGTCTACCTCCTCCTCCTCTTCATCATCATCCTCATCATCTCCGTGCTTCTCTCTCAGTTGTTGGATTCGGCCATTAATGTCCAAGAGGCCAAACCGGGCACAAAACTCGGTCGTCTGGGGATTGATTTGATGAACGGGTTCTCTGTGCTCCTGGGATTTGTTTGAGTTATAACAGGGAACTGTGGTACTGAAGTTATGTGGAACCTTGAGGTCGTGGTTCGCCTCTTCCAAAACCGCCTTGATGTCTTCTTCTGTGACACTGTAGTCCCATCTACAAGAGGCCAAACACAGGGAGGTTCAAGTAAGGCTACCCACCTCTCTGCCCCTTACATCTGAACAGCTTCAGGACAAAGAAAAGGAAGTGCTTCCTCATACAGGGCATTAACTGATATATGGAGTTCTAGGGATGGTAATGCCTCCTAACTTCAATGGGCCGGATTCAATTATCCCGGCATGCTAGAGGAATCCAGCGCAAGGGAGAGTTGGGAGCAGTGCGATCAATATCTACTCAGAAGTCCTACGAATTCAGTGGGGCTTACTCCCAAGTAAGTGGGGTTAGGATTGTTGCCTTAGTTGTTGTTTTTAATCTGACTGTATTGTTACTGCTCTGTAGTATTGGTGAGATGTTGGCAGAGGAGGCATAAGGGGTCAAAAAGCAGCAAATAAATAAAAATATACAGACAACACTTTACATACTTTGCATGGAGTCCATTGTTTTCAGGCATATTCCAGGAATTTGGAGACACATTAACAAGATTGTTAGTAGCTTTAAGAACAGCAATCCATTCAGGGTCATATTCCAGGCAGTCAGATGCACTTGGGTCGTGCTCAATCTCTACAATCTTAGAAAACATTGGGAAATTAAAAATACCTATTTGTCCTCCATAGCAGGCAAGACTTGGCTGTGAACTTAAGGCACTAGCACCTCAGATAAATCTACCCTTGCCCTTCCTACAGAGTGCACTTCTCCCTTGTTTTTGGAAGGACCATGAAGCCAGGCTGGGAAACAGGGGTAGGGAACCTTCTGCAGCCCAAGGGCCACATTCCCCCACAGGCAACCTTGGGGGAGGGCGCATGTCACTAGTGGGCAAGGCAAGGGAAAAGCAGGTAAAGCAACTTTGTACAGTAAGCCACAAAAGCCAGACATTTATCCACACAACTCTCCATCCGCCTGGAGGCTTTGTCACAGTTCAACGACACATCCATGCTATGCAAAAACACTCAAGGAGGGTGGAGAGGGCTGCAGCTTCGGGATAAGGTTCCAAGGTGCAAACAGAGCATCCTGGAAGGTCATATCTGGCTGACCATTTCTCCCCCTTTTACAGAAGATTCTAAATACCACTGAGCCTTAGGCCTCATAACAACAGGTACCAAACAGAAAATTCAGCATGTTTTACCTGTAGGAAGTCTCTGTGGGGCAGGCATTTATCCAGGGCCAGAAACTTTGTTGCTTTTGGCTGTTTCCCACTGCCATTGGCCTATTAAGGGGGGGGGGGGATACATCAACAAAAAATGGCACATGTACCAAAGTCAACATTTTTGGCTACACAACAAGGTTTGAAGCGATTTATATGCATGGACATATGAAGCTGCCTTTTTGTGAGTCAGACCGCTGTTCCATCTAACCCAGCAATGTCTATTCTGACTGGCAGCAGCCTTCTATCTGAGATGGAAGTCTTTCTTACCCGGTGCCTCCCAAATCTTTGGTTGGAGATGCCAGGGTTTAAACCAGCAAAACATAAATTCACAGACAGACAACTGTCTTCTGCCCTTCTGAAAGTACCAGAGGTTAGCTTGCCTATCAGTCATTTTCACTTATATAAAAATATCAACAGTGCAAAGAAGAGTGTGAAGTATATCATTACATGGCAGGCTCTCCAGTTTTGTCCAGCTCTATGATTCCAATCAGAATTCACTAAGGGCTACTTATCAAAACAAACCAAGGTAAATTTATCAATATCCGGTTAAGATCCTAACCACTGTCCTGGAATCCCCGATAAGCTTATATTTGAATTATGGTATTTTGAAAAAGATTGTAATAGAGCACAAGTAAGGAACCTGAGGATGCTGTTGGACTCCCTATCAGCCCCAGACAGCATGGCCAGTATTCAGTGATAATAGGGGCAGTAGTTCAAAAACATCTGGAGAGGCAGTTTCCCCACCGCTGCAATCTATTATATATTTTGGAAGGCTGTTTGCTTACATGTTCCCTATGCATTTGAACCCCTCTTAAGAGATTATAAACAAATTTTGCATAATAACTCCTGAGCTCAAACAGCAGCTTTTTGTCTATGTTTGGAGACAATGGGACGCCATTTAGAATCAATATGACAGAATGAACCTTTCTCAGAATTCTCAAGCAGTGCCAGGTGCAAGCTGAGCACAACTGGCCCCCAATCCAGAGCAGTTTGTTATTTTGAAACTACTGGCAGGTATCAGGTTTCCTCCACTGAAGTTTCTCTGGAGCTCCAGCGTCCGTTAAAAACAACAAGGGTGGAACACAACTGCACACATAAATGTCAACAGAGGCACAGCAAAACGCTCCAATTCTTTTACCTGGTGCTGCATGAAAGCAGCAAACTTCACATGTAGGTGTGCAGCGAACCAATAGGTTGGTTTCAAGTGCTCCAGAAGCTCTGAAGCAGCAGGACTTCCCAATGTATTACTCTCCACTTCTTGGCGGAAGAAGGATTTTTTCCTAAGCAGCAATTTCTTGTCTCCATAATGATATATACTTCTGGGCCAGTCGTGGGACATAAATACATCCATAGGCTGCTTTAGCTGTTGAACCAAAAGGAAAGCAACACAAAATGAGATAAGACGGCTGCTGTTGTGAATAAAGGAAACACAGCACAGGATCACAGAATCATAGGATGTCAATTAATTTTTAGGGAAGAGGGGAAATGATTAAGTGGGCTTAACTGCATTAGTTTCAATGGGTCTGCTCTGAGTAGGACTAATGAAGATGATTGTTCTTCTAAGTTTTGACTTACTGTACTGGTTTTTTCTTTTTGATTTCTTCTGTTAAGTAATGTTTTATTGTATCTTGATTATATTTTCAATATTATATTTTGCTTGTCAACATAGATTGTATTTGTTTTTGTTAACCGTTTTATTTATTTGTTTTATTTTTAAAGAGCCAGCCAGTTCAGCAGGACCTGCTGAGACTTCCTGGTGTTTCTGCAGCTGAATGCAACACCAATGAAGAATTATTATTATTATTATTATTCCCCTGCCTTTTTTCCCTGAGAGGAATTTAAGGTGGCTTAAAGATAAAATCAGAACCGCTTTAAACACGGGGCAGGGGGCGGGACAATAATTAAAAAACAGTTAAACATTAATTCTCATCCCTCTGCCTAGCCGAGAGCTGCTGAAGAAGAAATAACATAACTAGAAACAACATAAAACCCATTTTTTAAAAGGTGTAAGCCCGTTTAAAGGCTATTCGAAGATCTGGAAAATTAAAAGGCTGGTGGCAGAAAACCTAGTGACAGAAAGATTAACAAGAACGGTGCCACACAAATCTCTTGGGAGACTGTTTTGAAGTTGGGATGCCAGCCCTTATCCCTGTGGTGCCACCCACTTTATCTCAGATGGCGATGAAGGTACTTGAAGGGGAGGGGCAGGGCTATGAAGAAGATCTTAACATACAGACAGGTTGATATGAAATTGGATTTACACTAACCTGCTTGAGCTTGAAGACTTCAATGTTTCTTACATGGTAGACACTTCTTATCGTTTGTTGGTTGTATGGTGGATACTCAAAGTGACCTTAAGCAAGTTGAGAAACACTTAGCTGAATAAAAACAATGACAAAAAGGAAGACTTCCTAATTGGCTCCGATCCCGTGAAACAGCAGCATTGTGGAATGGGTGTTATATTCAACCTTCTTTGAGAGTTGCACAAGTGTGCTTATCACTATACTACAAGGCCAGTTTCAAGGTGCTAATGATAATTTATAAAGCCCTATACAACTTGAGATCTAGAAGCTTGATCACAGAATGCAGATGTACTATAATTTTAACAGATAGTATTATTTATGCATTTTATTTGCCCTCATTTTATTGTACTGATTGATGTTACTGCTTTAAGATTAAATGCACTGCACACCACCTTGAGATTGCTTTCAAAAGAAGGCAGGCTAAAAATATTTTAAATAAGTAAACGTAACAAGGAATTTAACTTCTTCCTATTTCATTCAATGGATATTTGGCTTTAGCGCCGTCAATTGAACAAAGACCACACAACCTTACTCTGACATCCTCAAGAGGCAAGTAACAATTTTTCCTATTTTACTGAAGTGAAAACTCAGTACCCAGGTGAGCAGGGATCTGAAATGAGGCCCTTTGCTGATCACAAGGCAGATGAGATAGAATATCACTACAACAAGCCAACAGAAAGGTGCAGAGAAAACTAGATGGACATTCTTATCCTTTTTCCTTCTATCTGTATCTTATACTTTCCTCACAGGAATCAGAGTAGTGTTTGGGCCTCACAATACCACTTTGAATTAGGCCATGGTAAGAAATAGTTATTTGCTCCAAGTTTCTCAGCTAAGCATTTTAATCAAGTAAAAATTTAAAACTGGGTTTCCTACATCCAAGAAAAACCCTTGATCCATTTTGCCACATTGATTCCCTTCAGCACTGCCGCATCACAGGGATAATCAAGACCTGTTCAGATGTACCAGTAAACTAGGGTTCTCCAGTAAAAAATATGCTGTGGTGGGCATTGGAACCACATGCTCCCTTTTCCCCTCCTTCAAGCAAGAATGAAGATTAAAAAATGCCTACTTTCAGTTTTGAATAAGCTGCAGTTTCCCACTACATCTAAACTCAATAACCTAACTGTGGTTAGTTCACACAAACAAACATCAAACCATGGTTTCAGATCCTGATTCATTAGTCACAGCTTCCCATGGCATCAAAACCAGGCTTCAGAATCACCTACCAGCAACAGACGCAACTCACTCTAGTGCAATAAGTGCTACAGCCGAAAATAAAATTCAGATTTAAAACAAGAATCTGCAGCACAACCCCATCCTAGACATACCCTTTTTGTAATCATGAGATTTGAAGATGCCAGAGAGTCCACCAATTCTCACCCCGCGATACTTTACCACTCCAGCGTAACCTGAAACAGGAAAAAAATATGTAGATCAGGCTAAGAAGTAGAAGACTGTCCACGAAAACCACGAGCAGTACATAAAGTGGTTACTGATTCCCAAGAATGTGCTGTATTTCCTGCATAGCAAAGAAAAAGGTTGCATTCTGTAATGTGTATAGGATAATAGTGTATTTTGGGCTACAATCTGCTGCTCAATATACTGGCCACACAAGGTCAGAAAAAGACAGAATTGGACCTAGATATTTTGCTGTTGCTACACTGAAAACTTTCCAGAACAGCTATACAGGCTTACACTGAAAACATTCCAGCAACAAGAGTATACGACTTCACCTGCAAGATACTGACATGCCAAATTTTGGAGGGAAAGAAGAGCAGTCCCCCACTATAAAGCTGAACTTCAATCTAAATCATCAGCCCTATGCTTGTGCATCCTAGGCTATCAAAACAGAAAGCAAAATGTTAATACCAAGGTAGTAGATGTTTGGTGCTACCCATCCGCCATATGGTAGCTCTTGCAAGTGATTGGAGGCTTCGTGGTTGCCCCCAATAAAGATGGTCAGGACAGGAGCTTTCTTCTCTCCAGAATAATACCTAGAACACAGCCAAAAGCCAAGGTCTTTGTCACTGGTATTAAGGATCAGCATTTTCATGTTTCCTGATCAGAGGAATCAGGCCTATAGGTTTACATGCATGCACATTGTATCATACATTGCTTCTGATGTGCAGCTGGGGAGGTAGAGATGGCACATGGGCTACTACTGAGCAGAAAGTGCTCATAGGAATCACCAAATTAACATGAAACACATAAAGCTAACCTATTTAATTGCACCTGTCAGTAGGACATGAAGTGGAAGCCGGAGCATGTTTAGTCAGAAGTTAAGTCCCACTAAGGTCCACAGTCAATCCAACTAAGACTGACTAAGCCACGTATTTCACCTCAACTTGGGACGCTGGATTTAGTTAACACACTACAGTATATGGATAAAAGGAGTGAATAGACTGAAAAGGACAGTGGGGCTTTCCCCAAGGCCAGTCAACTTCCTCCATCTGCCATCCACACGTTGTGTGTGAACATCTTGCAGGGGGGAAACCTACACAAACCTGTTGACTTCTACAGAAGGTGGAATCCTGCATGATCAGGATTCCAGTTCCTGCAGAGATCTGTAGCGCTTCTCTTGCAGACACTCACCTGTGGATGTCAGGAGCAGAGAGAGAAAAAGCTGTGTAAAATTGGGTTTGGGGTCAGTGGTGTGGCCCTGCCATCCTGTTATGTACTGACTTGAACACGTCCTTTCCTCTCTCAGGGCTGATCTTTCAGGAAAACTTGACACTTGGTTAATACTTTGCTATTCGCATATGGAAAACCTGGTGAAAAAGCACACCAAGAAAAACCTCCCCTACTTTATGCTGTAGCCTTTCCTCCTACGGGAGCTGCTTTAACAGCCTACCAAGGCATAAAACACAAATTATATAATATTTTACACGCGCGCGCACAATGCTTAACCAACTCCTCTACCACCCCAACAGTCAAAAACCCCGCAAAGGACCTTGCACTCTGCGCGTGCTCAGAGGCACCCTTCCCTCAAATGGGTTCCGGGGCGGAGCCTCCGCGGAATTCGAAATCCTGCTGCCTCTTCGCGGGCGACTCACCTCGCGAAGCCCCCCAAGCAGCGGTACTTGGCCGGCACCGCCATGCAGCGCAGGTCCGCCGCGTTGCGCACGGCCTGGAAGTCCCCGGCGCACAGGAGCAGATCCGGCGCCGCCTGCCCGTGGCGCTGCTCCAGCAAATGGAGCGTCTCGTACATCTTGTCAAGCGCGCCATGGCAGCAGCCGGCCACCGCCACCTTCATCTTCCGGCCTCGGCGCATGCGCCCCGGCGGCGGCAGCCCGGCCTGCGCAACGCACGCGCCCTCGACCGTTGCTTTCTCCGCATCGCGAGGCAGCCGGAGGGCCCCGCCCCGCCCCCCTGCCGCCGCTGCTGCGCATGCGTCTCTCCTTTGCTCTCACCGAACGTTGGGAGGTTGCGCTAGAATTGCGACAATATCCCGCCGAATGATTTCTATCATCGCCAGGATGCTTCTCCCCCCCCCCCGCAAATATCTATGGTCTTAACGTGGCTCCAAGGAACTTTTTGGTTCATTTTTTGTATTATTATTAATCGTCATCATCGTTCATTATTACTGTTAATCGTCATAAGGAAACCAATCTCGTAATGGCACATATTACGATATTTCATGTATTATCATTTCATATTATTATTATTACAATCTTCACCATCATTCTATTCCTTACCCACCCTTCCGCAATTAGGTGGGCTGCGACACGATCAAATTAAAATGCAATATATCAGAATCGGTTTAAACAAAGGGAAGGTTGGAATGTTGAATCCAGCTCCTCCTTAGGATCAGCGTTCACGTGGAAGTGCAGCGGCGAAAGAACAATGCAAGAAGTAAAATGCCATCAGAAATTTCAGTTAAAGCCTGCAAGTGTCTGACGTGGGAACGGTGGGTGTGGGCAGATGGAAGAAGGAGGGTGTTTTTCTATAGCCAATAAATGCAATTTCCAGGCAACTTGTCTCGGGATTCAGGATCAAGCCTGGTTTCTAAGCGTGCTTAGAAGTAAAACGGGTTTTCCCCGGGTTGCCATGCGTTCCCGATCTGTCACTAAGAAAAGGGTTTTCCCTTGGGAAGGGGGAAACCGCTCGGTCCCATTCTTTCAAGAAGCAGAAATATGGATAAGCCCTTAAGTATGTCCCGTTTAACTGCTTGGAGATCAGGCTTGTTCTTGAGACAATTTGCCTAGAAATGGCATTTACTGGCTACAAAAACATATCTTCTTCCATCTGGCCACATCCACCGTTCACATGTCAGACTCTGGCAGCACACTTCTCCTATGAAAATAGGGACGTCCCATTCCATAATGATAATTTTACTAGTTGTACCCCACACATCTTACTGGGTTGCCCCAGCCACTCTGGGCAGCTTCCAACAAATATAAAACATAATAAAACATTAAATATTTTTTTAAAAAACTTCCCTATACAGAATTGTCTTCAGATGGCTTGGGGGTCAGATAACCCCATACCCTCCAGCATTTCTCCAGTGAAAATAGGGAGGTCCTAAGGAAAAGCGGGACATTCCAGGATCAAATCAGAAACTAGGATGGCTTCTCTAAATCAGGGACGTCTCCGTAAAATAGGGACACCTGGAGGGTCTGTTGCAGGCTTTAATTGAATGTTACAGCACTAACAAAGCATCACAAAAATACAAACTAGCTCAGTATTCTGGGGAAAGTCCTTAAAAGATTTTTGGAAGCAATGTTGCTTTTTTAGCACACACTAGTAATGCACATTTTTTCAGTAGCAAGTCTTATGGGTAAGCATGGAGAAGATCAAACTGTCCAGATTTGAAAACTTACAAGTTAAAGAATGCTGGTGACCAAAGAAAAGAAAAGAAAGCTAAAACAGAAGTACTGCTTACATCTTCTTCCCATGAGCACATTATTATTATTAATTAGCTGCTTTACCCGTTGAAATGACTGGAAGCAACTTACAACACAACAAAAATACTAAAACTACACTAAAACAATAAAAAACTTTAAAAAAAACCACCACAAAAATATGCACAAATGAAAGACAGGTCCAACACATCCTGTCCTATCAAGGGAGCCCATGAATACTTAAAAAAACCTCTCAGAACTACATCTCCCATCAGCCCCAGCAAGGATAACCAATGGCTACGGATTATGGGAGGTGTAACCCACAAATGTATTAGTCTTTCCTCAAAGGGGAATGCACAAACCCCTTGCTCACATTACATGACCTTTTCTGCCCCTTTGCCAGCTCTTTAGCATTCTTTATTTAAGAAGAAGTATCCACAGCTATCTACTGTACAATAATTCCAGCTTGGCTTCACTTTTTTTCTCTCTCCTTCCAACAATGTTCCCATGGGATGATAAAAAGGTTTAAGCAGGAAGTTATTTATGTGGAATGAGAGTTGGGTGTGGGCAGATGTCTTCATTACACCCTTGGCCATTTGTAATGGAGACGTGGCCTAGTTTCCCATGCACAGCAGGTATAAATAAATATCAACTGTTGGGGTTTCCAAAGCCTTCAGACAACAAATTTCACTCCAGAATTTTGATAATATCTGGTTGTTGCAACTGAGCTTTCCTCCAAGTTGTCGATTGCCTAATCTCAGAGCCAACGTAGCCAGCATTTTTTCTCTCTCTCTCTAGGTCAATTGCTCAACCTATAGTGTAGGAAACTACCCAAATGAAATTAACTGAACCTGTTACAGAACCTAAATTACCTGTGGCCACACCTTCCTGAGCAATGCAATTGCATGTGTAAGGTAGGATCCAGTAGCAGCCACACTCGTGACTATTGGAGCAGTTTACATGCTGCAGCAACGGCAACAGCATTCTGCACTGAACATTCAAGTTGCCATTCAGCTCAGAACATGGAGAGACTCTTGGCCCAGGAACAGAAAATGCCAGGGCCAGCCATACCCCAGCAGACTTCCTAATTTGGAGTGAAATGGCAATTTGCTTCCGGTCCTTTATCTTTTATTTGATGCCACTTTTTGTGTCAGGTATGTGGTTATTTATGCTTGATCCCGGTTCAGAATGATGGGGCATGGAGCTGGGGGGAAATTGCCTAGAACTAACTGTAACTTCCAGATCGCCTAGATTTTCTTTATACTGTATCTTAAAATGAGACTCTTCTCCAAGTAACATTAATTGGTGAAATCTGTTAAGATATGTCCTAGGGAGAAAGGGACTTTTCCTTCCTTCCTTCTTTTTATTCTTAGAAAATGCTGTTTGTTTTATTGGGGTGGGAGTGTTGTTTTAGTTAGCATGAGTTTGCCTTTTTCTGTTTTCCTTTTCTTTTACCTGCATATTTTGTTTTTTTGTATTCATGTGGTAAGGAATGGGATGTAGAAGGAGGGGAGGTGGGTTCTATTTTTGTTCGTGTGCTTATTTTTTGTGTATAGTCATAACAGCAAGGGGTGTGTGTGTTGGGGGATGGATTGTTGGGGTGAGGAGTTGTTGGGGTGGATGGGGTGTTGGGGTGGGTGGAGTTTGAGAGAATGGAGGAGCGTCACCTGGGTTCGTTATTGTCTTCCAAAGCACCTACTTTATTCCGAACTTAAAAATGGAAAGCATAATGCTGGTGGTCAACAAAATAGGTTTAAAGACTCTCTCAGGGCAAATTTTAAAATGTAGTATAAACACCGACAACTGGGAAACACTAGCCTGTGAGTGCTCCAGTTGGAGAACAGCCTTTACCAAAGGTGTCATGGGCTTTGAAGACTCTCAAACTCAGGACAAAAGGGAGAAACGTGCTAAGAGGAAGGCACGCTTGGTGAACCCTCACCATGATCAACTCCCACCAGGAAACCTATGTCCCCACTGTGGAAGGACATGTAGATCCAGAATTGGCCTTCATAGTCATTTACGGACTCACTGTTAAAATCATGTTCATGGAAGACAATCTTATTATGAGTGATCGCCAAAGAAGAAAAAAGTGTTGGTGTGGAAAAGATCTCTGTGGATAACAAAGGGGGGGGGGAGGAAAGGGGGGAAAGAGGGGGCTTCACCAATCTATTGGTTTGAGGTGCTTTCTGGGTGCTTAATTCGGCAGTAGATGTTGTTGCAGGGTTGTCAATCTGTGATTTGTGGGCTTAGCTGAGGTTGGTTCGTAGTCCTGTGTTCTGTGTTCAGTGGAGCTGTTCTGTGAGTGGTACTTTACTGTCTTGGTTTGCATTGTCATGTCGTTTCTGTTATTCTTTCTCTTGTTGACTGTCGTTCACTCATTAGCTGTATTTTCTTCTTGGTTGTTGTTCGGTGGGTCAGATGGCTGCCATTCTGGTGGAAGGTTAAGTCTGAGGTTCTCCAGAAGTTGCAGGGCTTCAGGTATGCCGGTGGCCGTGTGCTGTGTTGTGTCAGTTGTTACAATGAGGCGAAAGTCGGTACTTGATTCCTGCTTGTTGAAGATGTTGGATACATGGTCGTATGTTTTTTCTTCGGTTTAGGGTCTCTTGCGATAAATCCTTAAAGGCCAGAATGCGGTTTTCTCAATATTGGAAGTTGGTTGAGTTTCTGAGATTGTTCCATATTTCTTTTTTATTTTTGTAGCAGGTGAAGCACACGATGATGTCATGTCTCGTGGAGGGGCGTTTGGCTTTCCGCATGGGTCTTAGAGCTCTGTGTGCCCTTTTTAGATCATCTACTTCAAGTTTCAGATTTGGAATTGTGGTTTTTAGCTAGCATACAATGAGATCAGCCTGGTTTTTGTCTTCTGTTTTATCAGGGAAATTGCGGAAGCTAATATTGCAGTGTCTACTGTGATTTTCAAGGGCTGCTAGTTTAATTCTTGCTTCCATGCTTTCTCTTTCTTGGCAGCTATCCGTATCAGCTGACTTATTTTTCAAATGTGTGTTATCCTCTCTGAGTTGCTCTATTTGTTTTAGTTGGATCTGGTTTTCCTTTTCTAGAGTGGAGATGATGCCAGTGAAGGTCTCCACTTTGGAGGTCAGGTCACTGATTTTTGTCTTCAGGGGAGTCACTGTGTTCTTCAATAGTTCTGCTAGTCTCAGTTCCATTTACCTTTTTGTTGTTGCACAGTTGTCATCATGGGGGGACATTGCGACCACCTTGTCATTCGCCATCTCCTTGGTTGAAGAGAGGGACTTTTCTTTTCTTCACTTTTTATGTTTTATTTCTTTTTATATACAATCTTTACAACAGAAGACTTTACAACCAAAATAAACCAAATAAACCAAAATACAAGCAAGAACATGACTCACATGTTTTCATTTGTACCATATTCTTCTCAGATTTCCTTATTTTACTGTTCATTAATGTTAGTCTCCTTCTTTTGACTCCTTGTTCTTTACCTCTTAAATCACATATATCTTTAACAATTTTCCAAATACTGCCCTATACCTCCC